CTCTCCCGGCCGGGGCGGCGTAGGCGTACCCGGTACTCCCTGGTGCGGAGACGTCGGAGGCCGGCGTCACTCTCTCTCGCTGCAGGTTGGAACTCTCATCACACACAGAGTTTGAGTCCGACCGTGTTTCCCCCTACGCATGCTTTTGCTTTTACTTTTACCGGACCTACCCTCTGAGCAACAACTGGAACGGAACAACAAACCTTTTCTTGCCCAGATACGATTGAGTTTGCAACACGATTGGCTATCAGATGGGCGCCTGTGGCGCTTGGCGACGTGTTTTGCACAAAAAGGAATGCATGAAGTCATGGAAACGGATACACACTCGCTGACTCTCTGCTGTGCACACAGGCAGGATGTGATAATAATGGATGGATATCTTGGGGGGCTGAAATGTGAATGTGAATGTGAATGTGAAGTGAACTGGCACCACTGTTGCAGAATGCGATGCTGAATTGTGTCGATCCCCTCACTAATGGGGGTCGCTATTTTGCCCCTCCAGCCAGTGAACGTCCCCGCTGTGAGGCTAGAGCAACTAGGCGCTGCATAAGTTTATGCCAGCTCTGTTGGTTATGGTTGGTTGGTTATGCTCCAGCAATAACTCACTGCAGAAAGATAAGATCGACATTCTTGGTGAGCCATCTCTATTCTTCAACCTCGTACTTTCAAACTGCCCTGCCACCCTTGAGCTTTGATTGGTTCGAGGTTGAGGTGTATCAAATATCGAGATATCATCCATAGTCACGCATGTTCATCACATACTGTATTCTCAACAAGGCTGACAAGGGAAATGAGATTTGCTTATTCTAGGTTGATCAAAGAAGCAAATCAGCAACATGGTGTTTCATCCATAAGCGATCCTCCGTCGGCGGGTATTGGTTGTCTTTGTCTGACTTGAAGCGAGACGAGGCCTGCCATCAGATATCCATTTGGCTGTCTCTGCACGTATCCGTCTAACGGCATATCTTCGAAGGGGCCTCAACCCGCCCGCTGGCAGCTCTGCTCTATCCTCTGTATCTGTTTGCAGCGTCCTCACGGGCTGCTGGCCTAGCACCCCGGGATCCCATATTACTCGAAGCAGACAGGTGCAGAGCTCGGGTGCGTCAGTCAGTACCACCCAGTGGTCCCAGGCCGCGGTGGGATGCAGGTAGAGTGAGTGAGTGGTGTCTGTGTCCCCCTGTCGTGTAGGACAAGACAGAGTTTCCAAACAGCACAGCACAGTTCACTTGCTTGTCAAGTCAAGAGACCCCTTGAACAGGCCACGACGGTGACAGTGGCAGCTCTTGAAGTTACAGTGAGGCTGACTGATGGGAAACGGGACGGGTTGCAGAAGAGGCGTCCAATGAGAAGCTGTACAGGTCCCAAGGAATGTGGCCCGTTGCCTGTCTTTATCGGCCTGTGATCTCTGTCACCCGTTGGATGCATGGCATGGATTACAGTCTAACTGATAACAAAATGTTAACTTTACGGTGAGAATGCGAAATGATAATGTGAATGCGTGTGTCGTTTCGGGTTGGTTCCAGTTCTTGTCATCGGATGTGAACGGGTATCGTACAGTGGCTTGCCTTTGCGTTGCCTCGAGCCCAGGATCTGAGCGAGCCTTGACTGACACCGACAGATTGAGGAGGAATTGAGGCGACGAGGCATTCATATTTTGGCTGGTCACTTGTTTTCAACCTCAACTATTTGTCCCAGCCACGAACCATTATCGCATGATCTCAGCTCCCGCAACATGTTTCTCTATGCATCCAAGTGGAATGCTTGATAGAACTTCAGGTGAAGCGAAGCAAAGCAACTTGACAATTGTCGAAAGAGTACCGTCTCGCCTACCCTATTCCATGTCAATATGTCCAAATTCCTCCAAGGGCCCCTGGTATTCCAACTCAGGTGAGTGGTCCCCTAAAAACAAGACAGTGTCTCATTGCTAACAGTTGTCAAAGACGGGTTGGGGCGGGTCCAAGAGAAGCGGTCAGGGCATTCGAAAATGGACCTTCACCGTGATTACCGATCATCCATCAACTGCATCGTAAAAAATCACGGGTGCATCTAAACCCTTCGAGGTCTAGGTCCTGGCACTCAGATCTCCAGCAATCATCTCGGACCTGGTTATTCCCCGTTGTTGCCCTGCCCTGTGCTTTCAAGACTTTACGCGCACTGAGCTCTAAACATATCATCTCGATCCACTTGACACAGAGTGAGGCCGCTGTCTAATCCTTGAGCTACAGGGATATCCCTGGAATCGACCCACCTCTCGCCAGCGAGCACTGATTCCTCTGACGCCAATGCCACTTGAGTCAAAGTCGAAGAAAGAAAAAAATGTTCTAATTAATCTCCAGTTTCTGAGTCCGGGGCGTCGATCATACGCCATCTACTGTAGCTGAAGCATGGCGTGGTTTTTTTGGCCTCAAACATTGCTTCATGAGGGTTCGAGCTTTTCTTTCATGGCGATGACCATGGTATGGCCGTCGGCAAATAAACATTATGCACTAAACTCTTCTGTCTCAGCATATGTTATGCATGGGCTGATTTTGTTTCGACCGCTGACCGAAACCTGCTCGCCTCTACTGCTGCAACTTGATTGAACCACTGGTTCTCGCACCAAGGACGGCAATGCAAGAGCTTGCTCCGTCCTGGTTCGATACCAGCTGCTCTTATGCATTCATTGTTGGCTGCGAATAAGAACAGCCAGCAAATCGGGATGTTACTCTGGCAGTTCCAAGCAGGAAAAGGTTAACCACATGCCATATCGATCCAATAGGGAGTTATCCTCAACACTGCCGTCTATGCACTCACTTAGAGAAGCTATGCGCATCTTGAGTCATGGCTATGCATCTCTACGGTTGAGTCCAGCTTGCAACGGCACAAGACCTCAGCCATAGTCCTAGATCGGGAGATGCAGAAGGAAACAAAGGCGGGCGGGCAGTCACTCGCATTGAGGATGAGCAATCGAGAGCACACCATCAACTGCCGCCAGGGCCACTTCCCCGGGAACATGGTTGCGGTTCGTCTCTAAACTGGCCGGCGCTGGTATCACCTTGGCTTGGTTTGCATGATATCTCTTGAAGTCTGGTGTTTCTAGCCCGATTCAGAGATCCTTGCTGTTGACAATGGGACTTTGGAGTGGAAGCGAGAGCTGGGACTAGTTTCTGGTCTGATAACGATCTGAAGATCGATCGTAGAAAGCCTCTGGGCACATACGACCACCATCACATGCAGTACCGAATCGATCAGCAGTTATCTCTTGGAGATAACCACTCACAACGTATCTCCTTGTAAACTTTCGTCAATGAAGACGCCATTATGAGATAGAAGACCGTCTCAAACGTCAAGCTGCACCAATAAAGCCAAGACTGCACGTTTCGAGGTGGGCTGATATCAAGCCTCTGTTTGTAGATTCACCGCCAAACGCTGGATGTCTGCAAGGGCTGGTATGCGTAGCGTGTGGACGCAAGGGAGGACAATGCAACACACAGGATTTGTCACGAGGCCCAAGAAGCGGCATGAGAAACATGCTCAACTCAAACATAATTTGAGATACCAAGATTGTATCGCATCATGGCTGATCATTTACGGCTCGTGGCTACCGTAAAGAGAAACCAACGTTGTCGCCTTGGTTCAAAGTCTAATCCACAGCCGGTCTCGACTCTCAACGGAGCATCACTAACTAAGCAAAAGTAAAGTAAAGTAAAGTAAAGTAAAGTAAAGTAGCGGCGGGACTTTATTGGTGGTGTTGAGCTTACGGGATGACATCCGCGGCGCCTGGAGGGGCATGATTTGCATCAACGACTTGTGAAGTTGAAGATCGAGTTGGACCAATTGTAGGACGACACAGAACCAGATCTTGGTGATGCTAAACTTGGTCTAGAATAGATATGGTTTCCCTTCAGTCTGAGGGTTAGGGAACTGTCCGGATACACGAGGATGAGGACCGCTCATATTCGGCTTCCCTCTTGGTTGGATCGGCCGTGTCATGTTCATGTGGAGATGGAATCTGGAGATGCCGTCACGGAGCGGAGCCCAGGGTAGGACACGGAGCATCACATAACGGTTACGTTACCCTGTATCCAAGCAAGATAACATGGTTGTATGTTTGTATATTCACTTATTTGTCAGTACATGTAGTGCATATCACAGCAATTTATTGTCCATTCACAGTTATCGTGTCCGATCACACGAAGCATCATAATTGTCGCATTGACCTGATCATCATCCAACACAAGAAACCTCATCGAGACACACACCGATCACCACTTCGTACTGTAGGTCTCCCAAATCACAGGCTAACAGACTTCTACTGGACGGACCATCCCTCCTCATGAAACTTGTAGGGCAATCACCAACCAAGCCCATCAAATTGCACCAATGAATAACCCATCGAAATAAAACCCGCCGATCCTGACGACACTCTCGCCACAGCCCGTCATCATGTCTCAAACCCCCATCCCCCTGCGATAAAGTGAGGCTGAGAAATTCGAATCCACTCTGATTTCATCAAAAACCCTCAAGCTCAAGGGATCCTTGCCTCGCTCCGAATCTGGGCGCAATCTCCGTCACAGGTTCTGTTACAGGTTTGTATGAGAAGGGTGTTACAATCACAATTTTATTCCTGCACATCATAATGCAGGGCAGGGCAGGGCAAACACCAACACATTCGGGGAGAACCGATAAGATCGCTGTGACATTGTTGATCAAGGGGTATTGGATCATCAAAAGCCTCACCTTTGAACTCTCGTGCACATCACGACAATCATCGGCACAAACGTCACGACCTGCTCGCCCTGCTCATCCTGTACCACTGACATTATCTGTGTGACCTCATTGACGTCAAGTTCTCAACACAAAGACTCTCTTCTTTGATAATCTGACCAACCACTCCCCATCCCAACCAAACGACTTACACAGACCACAACCGTGACCCCCAAACCATTTACAACAACACCTCACATGTAACATCACCTGCCAGCAATCAACAAACCACAATGTGTAATCAGCCCCGATCGTTACGCCCCGTCTCGGTCGCTGCCTATCAGGCTGTCAAACTTGAACCTGGAATGAATAATGTAGCCTAGAAAATGCACAACATATTCACTTAGCGTAGGCTGCTTTGCGTGCTCACGCGGGTAAGCAAGCCCACGTCTGCATCGCCACTCTGTGCCTGAGAGCCTCAATCTCAATACCAAGCCCGAGCATGTGGATTCCTCCCGTATGAGCCGGGCGTTATGTGACTCGGGATATAGCGAGTACGAGGTCACGCATCCTAAAAGGCACAATATTGCATCGGCGATCATTCATCAAACAATCCGAGCATTAGTTAGCGATTCCTTAGTAGCTATGTTATTACAACTCTGTCGGCATTCGTTTTAGACCCTCGTCCAAGCTTCATACTCCAGAACTCCATCAAATTTCTAGCCTGCTTCTTCCAAGTCTAGATTCCAATAACCTCGGCCTCATGCGAGACATAACAGACAAGGTGAGACATAGCAAGGCATGACTTAAAAACGGCGGTGACACGTTCGGAGACATCGATCAAACCACCACATGTTTTGAACCAGCGATAATCCTCCCTTGCTTTGTTCAGCCAAGTATATTCCCCCAAAATCTCTCATCCCACGCCTTCGATTGTCTCAAAACAGCGTCATGAATCCATGATCCGAATGCTTAACACCCTCCTTACCGACGTACATGTCCCGCCCGCGCAGTAAAGAAGGGATGGCGCAGTGCATCAGCCGGCTTCATCCTTTTGTCGGGATTGAGTGTAAGACAGTGCTCGAGGAGATCAATGAAGTGGTTCAGATCCCTCGTTTCCGCATCATTCATCCCTGCCGACGCAGCCATGAGTCTTGTCCGTAGGTCCCGAGTTGGCTTCACCACCGCCATCGTTCGGACGGTTGTCTGTAAGCAGAGTTTGTTAGTTATCCATTCCTGACTCATAGTTCTAAAATGGGAAAAGGAATTCTCCATGTGAATGCGCATGTCAACAAGGGCTGAGCGCTTGGCCAAACTCTTAGCAGCCGTTGAACTCGTATGCAAGGGATATGTAGGTCATCGTGGCTGACGCTGAGAGGGAATCCGATCTACCGAGACAAAACAGGTCATGCGACCTGATCTTTAACCTTGAAAGGATCTTGAGGCGTTCTGTAATCTCATCTCATCCCACCATCCATCCCTTGCTGAGTTTGTTCGAGAACCCCGCAAGGGCGGCTGAGATCAAACATGCCTGATGACTGTTGTTTTGATCTATCGACCGTTATGTGGGTGATGTTGGTCATCGTGGAGGTACCCCACATATCCCGAGCGCTTCAGTCTGCAAGGGATCTAGGCGCTTACGCTCGCAGAGCCCCATGATGGAACAGCCCCCAGCCATTGTGGCAAAAATAGTATAGGCCTCGCGTGGGCGGCCACCAAAAGCATGGCCATATGGCGCTTGGAGGCAGATGCAAGGAGTGTGATGGCAAAAACAACAACAAAAACAACGTGGAGGGAGTGAATGGAATCACAACATACCTTACCGAGAACCTTGTCTCGTTCGATGCTGACGAATTGTCCCTTGTCGTCGAAATGAGCTGGCGATAGCTGACCACGCTTGAACAACTTCGGCGTTAACCTTCCTCTGATCTCCATAATTGCCTTGAGCATCTGGTTATTGCTGTCTCCAGCAAAGAGGATTTTGCCGGTGTACATTTCATACAACGTGCAGCCGATGGACCACATGTCGACGGCGTAATCGTAAGGGATGCCCAAAATAATCTCCGGCGCTCGGTAGAATCGACTGACGAGGTAGGGAGTGACATCCATGTGTGCTGTCGCCGCATCCGTCTTGTCGATAGCCGTACCCAAATCACAGATCTTTAGCACGTTGTGACTCTCGTTTACCTACTAAGGTTAGCACTCATGTGTCTTATTATTAGCATCGTGGGGTTGCATACCAAGATGTTGTCCGGCTTGAGATCAGCATGAATGATACTGCACTTTCGCATGTGCGCGAGAGCGACAAAGATCTGGTATGCATATGCTCGTGTCGCTCCCAGATTGATACCCACATTATTACCGAACTTTCGCAGAACCTCTCGTAAGTTCATGCTCAGGTTCTCAAACACCATGCACAGATGGCCCTTGTAGTCGAACTGGCGGATAAACTTGATGATGTGCTTGCGACCTTCAGGGTCGGCCTCGTTGAGCTTCTCCAGAATGGCAATCTCTGTGTATCCTCCCTTTCGGAGGGCATCATTGTTTCGCATCATCTTGATAGCGACGAGCTCCTTCGTGGTAATGTCGACGGCACGGGCTACCCCTGAGAACATACCCCTTCCAAGTGCTGCCTGGATCTGATACCGACCATTCAAGACTTCACCAATGCGAATCTTGTAGTAGCCATCTTTGTCGTCACCTTCGAGGATACCTCCCTTGATAGCTGGGACATCAGGGGCCTTGCCGTCGCCCTCGATTGGCGCTACCGGCTCGACGGGTTTTGTAGCGTACTTTTCCTCGTCAAAGTCTTCGGCGAACATATCGAAGTCATCATCGTCGTCATCACCGCCGGTCTTTTCGGTAGTCTTTGCTTGGACCTCTTCCTGTGGCTGTTGTTCCGTTGCAATGGGATGCTGCTCACCATGAAGTACGACGTGTCCGTGCCGGAGCTCATGTCGTCGTTCGTCCTCCTTCATGTCTCCAGTAGGATCGTAGTCAGCTGCAGAGGGGCCATCCTCCTCATCTGGCTGAGCCTTCCCATGGCTGTTCATCAGGTTTCTGTCATCGAGGAAATTGATACCCCCAGGGGACATTTCACTATGTGATCCGGGAGAGCACGGTGATGCGATATCTGCACCTCTGGTCAGTAATATCCCTCCGCCAGATGCTGTTGACATACCTGAACGGGGAGTGCGGGGGCTTTCAATGTCGGACTGTGCTCTCATGGGCGTGTCGGGCGCAGTGGACGCAGGAGAAGCTCCGTGAGCTTTGCTTGCAGCAGCACCTACAGCATGGAGAAGGAGAGGAGTTGCAGAGCTGTGCTTAGCCAGAATCTCCTCACGTCGCTTGCGGCGTCGCTCGATTTCAGCTTCTTCGTCAAACGGCTCAGGCTCTTCGTAGTCGGGCTCTGGCTCAGGTTCCGGTTTTCGTTCGGGTTCCTTGTGAGCTGCTGGCTCCCTATAAACATGTCAGTACTTTGCTCAAATTTATGAATGTAACTCAACATACTGCTGAGAAGCCTTAGAAGTGCCATGTCCATTGGTAAGGCCTTGTTCAGGTTTAGCATGATGTCCTTGGGCGCGTGAAGCCTCTCCTACAGTCGTCCTCTTGGACATAGAACCGCCATTTCTCGAGCTGTCGTCATACTTAAGTCCCCTCGGTCCATCGTCGCGACGATCGTATTGACCTTCTCTAACAAAACGATCAAACCTGCCCCTATCTGAAGGTCGAGATCTTTGAGGAGAGCGACTCCTGTTCCGAGGTCGTTTGTTGGAATACCGATCTCGGTCTCCATCGCGGTAGTTGTCTCGGTCGCGGCTCCGATCGCGGCCCCCGTAGCTGAAATTTGATGCGCGCGATGCAGGTCGATCTAGGTCATCGTATTGTCCTCGCGGCTTGCGATGGTCGTCGCGTCGAGTATCTTCGTAGTTCCGGCGATAGCCTTGATCGCGAGGCCTGGAGTTGTAGTGATCCCTATCTCTGTCTCTTTCGTCGTGCGATCGCTTGTAGCCACGGGGTGAGATACTTCGTCGTGAGTTGTTGCTGTATCTAGAAGCCGAATCGTGATCCGGAGTCGAATGTCTACTTTTGTGTCTGTCTTGACGGTCAACACTGCTTCCTCCAGTATGCTGCAGTGAAGTTGCCTTCAAATCTTCAGCGCCGTTCTCGACGATCTCGCCTTCGTCCGAACTCGACGCCATGATGACGACGGTGCTATTTGGATCCTCAAGGCCTTAAAATAGAGAGAAGCAGAAACAGTGTCAGCGCTGGGGACTGGGAAGAGCAGAGTGCAATGGGAGAAGAGCCCAACCGGATCAGTAGTGACTCGTAGAGGCTCAGAGCCGATAGGGGAGGTAATGTAGCGGATGAAGGAAGACTGGAGCGCAGTCCAGATGAAAATAGGTGGGTAAGCGAATTGGAAACTCTGAGGCGAGTGCAGGTGTTGCGAAACCTAAACAGGTGCCGTGATGCGAGATGAAATGTTATTATCTGAACCGAGTATCTCCAGACTTTTGACGTAACAGCGAAACTACTGATGAGGCTACAAGGCCCATTTTCTGGATTAGCTAAGCCCCGAAAGACCCTTATCCATCTTATCGAGCTTATCCCCGCGGTCGAAAGTGGGCTCACCGCTGTCAGTGAGTGGGCTGGGCTGTGCTGAGCGCGAAAGGGCCTAGACAAAAGTCAATAAGCGGGAGGCAACTTTTCCCTCTCGCGACAATCTTTGTTTCTTTAACCGCAGCTTTGCCTCCTTTTTACACAACTCAAGACTCTCTTTCACTTCACATATATCAAAATGGGTGGCGCTAACCGAGAAGGTTCGTTAAGTCCCTCCAACTGATAAAGTTCTACAGAGGCAGAAAACTAACCCCTCCAATTCACAGGCGGCAAGGTCAAGCCCTTGAAGCAGGCCAAGAAGGCCCAGAAGGACCTCGACGACGATGACAAGGCTTTCCTCGAGAAGAAGCGCGCCGGTACGCATCCCCGAAACTACGAATGAGCGAAAACATCTTGCTAACCACTACGATACAGACGAGAAGGCTCGCAAGGAGCTTGCCTCCAAGGCTGGAGGCAAGGGCCCTCTCAACACCGGTGGCCAGGGCATCAAGAAGAGCGGAAAGAAATAAACGTTTCGCCTGGTTCTAGCGATGATTGAGCGAAGACCCGATATATTTGTGGAGGCTTTGGATGGCGTGAGCGCATCTGACAGAAGGCCTGCGTGTTTTAGGCGTTTTAGACATTGGCGCTCACTGTTCACGATATTTTCGCGCGATGGCTAACGATAAATGAATTCTATGCTGACTTGAAAATGCTGACCTGCAGTGCCTTGTTATTCCCGTGAAACCAGATTTGAGTGTAGTCATGATCGTAGAAATGTTAGAATGTCGATGTTATGATAGTAAAACCTCCACTGTATTAGTGCACCTCGCTTATGGATTTCCTTCAGCGAAAAGTAAATCTCTCGCCAAATGACTTTCATCTCCATTAAACAAGTCCATCATAACTTCTTTTGCCATAAAACAGGGTCTTCGACTAAACCCGAGTGGGCCTTCTACGACGCTTCTAGAGGCCTTCTTCTATTAACCATTAATCGTCGATTTCACTTTAGCCTCGGAGCACGTTGCGTGTCTTTTCATGTGCTTGTCCCAACAAAACTACCCTGGTCCAACAACACAACAATAAACGATCGGAGAAGTGGAACTTGATTCGTATATAAGTCGAGAACTAAGGCGCAAGGACAGAAACTAATTGTCAGTTAACGATTCTACGCAAAGTTCCTGACTCTAGCTGCATGTGTTCCAAGTCTGGATAGCCTCATTTCATCATGGCCGAAACTCAGCCCTACGGCGTCCGCAATCGCCGGCCTTCAGCCACAGACAACCTTATCAATGCCGCTAAGAACTTCGAATCAAAGGTTGAGCGATCTCTCCTCATCCTATGGGATGATCTCCCAGCCTGGCGTCGCGACAATGCCTTCATCCTCTCTGGCTACCGTCAATCTCATGGCTCCTATGCCCACTCATTCCGCTCCCTCTTTTACCTCCACAACGAGTCCGTCAACATCTGGTCTCACCTCCTCGGTGCCATAGTATTTCTCGCTAGTGCAGCCTACGTTGATCGAGTTGTCCGGCCACGGTACGAGAGCGCAAGTAGCGCTGATGTACTCGTCTTTGCATGCTTCTTTGGAGGCGCTGTTGTGTGTTTGGGGATGAGTGCTACATACCATACTTTGTCGAATCACAGCGATACTGTTTCAAAGTGGGGGAACAAGTTGGATTACACAGGCATTGTGGCTTTGATCGTTGGCAGCTATGTTCCTGCTCTGTATTACGGCTTCTTCTGTCTGCCTAACCTGATGGCCTCATATCTCTGGGTTGTAAGTCTATGATGTTGTGTACTGATGGTAGAGAAAATCGCTGACAAAGTAGATATGTATACTTGGTCTAGGATGTACAATCGTTTCATGGGTTGAGCGCTTCCGGACCCCAGCATGGCGTCCGTACCGTGCAATGATGTTCATCAGCCTTGGTCTCTCTGGCGTTGTTCCTGTCATCCATGGCCTTTTCATCTATGGTTATCAAGGCCTTGAAGATCGGATGAGTCTCAGCTGGGTTCTCCTCCACGGGGCCATGTACATCTTTGGCGCTGTACTCTACGCGGTATGTCCTCTCTGACTCTCCACGTAAAGCATCTAAATCTGACTTAACAGGCTCGCTGGCCCGAGAGGAGTGCACCTGGCGCCTTCGATATCTGGGGAAGCTCGCATCAGATCTTCCACATTTTTGTCATCCTTGCAGCCGTTACACACTTTTATGGCATGGCCAAGGCTTTCGACTACCACCACACCATTATGGGTTCTCAGTGTCTCATGGACTAATTGGCTTGCTCTTCTGTTATCGTCAAGCCGAGATCTGTGATCCTTACCAGACCTGAGCCCATCGCTACTGCAGCCCAGCATCCATACTCTTTGTTAGGATTCCATTCGGCCACGGTGATCCTCGTCAGTGGCTCGTAGATGATGGCTCGGGTCGGATCCATGATTGCGCCCCCTTCTTCTTCATCGTCGCCGACAGCTGTGTCGGTATCCTTCTTCTTTGGCTTCTTCCCTTTCTTGACCGGCGGTTTATGGGCTGAATGCTTAGTTAGGCTGCGCTCCAATATGAAGCCTGTCGCTATTCTTGAGACTCCTCGTGCCGCCGCGGGTGATTCAGCCGAGAAAAGCTTCGCGGGGCGATGTTCGTGATGGAAGACTCGGATACGGTCTGTGGGTTCTCGCCTTGTGGTGAAGAGTTCAACCTGAGGATTGATAGCCCATAGTGAGCCGTCTAGAGAACCGACAAGGAGGTATGGATGTGTTCGTCCGACTGCGAGACAGGAAGGGAAACTTTCTCCTGTAAAGACGCGACGCGCAACAGGGAATTGCGAATGGTGCATGAAGCCGATGTGGGTATTCAGCACACCGGCAGATGGATACATGGAGTAGAAGCCAAGTAGATGATCGCTGTATCCAAGCAGATTTGGTTGTGTTCCGACTGTGAGGTTCTGAACTTCGGTTGACTCGTAGCTCGGCGCACGAAGGTCAAGCAATTTGACAGTTCCGCCGACAGGGGTTGAGGCAACGAGATAGGGCATTGCTGGATAGCCAGAGACGAGATCGACCACGATATTGTGGTGGACAGGATGTCGCGATAGGAGGCGATGAGGACGCAGGGACCAAATAGCAATAGAACCGTCAGTATAACCTACTACCAGCCGGTTGAAGTTGATCCATGTGAGAGCTGTCGCTTTGACGTCTTCGTCTGGGAAGCCAAATACAGCTATTGGCTGCACAACCTTTTCTGAACACTGTTAGTAATTGGACTGGTACCAGTGAGATACTGAACTTGCCATAACTTCCTCCTCCGCCATCACCAGCCTCCACCACATACACGTTTCCATCATCGCAAAGAATGGCCAAGAAGCCGCATGCAGGACTCCATTTAACTCTTCGGGCCCGCCCAAATTCGAGACATATTGTCTTGCGCAGTATTGGAGGCTGCATCGAAGGTCGAGCAAAGCCATTCTCTTGCCTCTCGCCGACGAACTCCCATAGCTGCACAGTACCATACTTTTGGAACTCCGGATTCAAAGATTCCTGCTCGTAATCGAAAAGCTCCTGATCGGAATGTGGAATAACACATAGGGCGAGAAGTTGCGGCGAGTTAGCGTTGTTCAGAGGTGCCCAGTCCATGCTGGTGACGATACCGCCGGCATCTAAAATCCACCCAAAGGGCGCGTCGTCATTTTGCATTGGGAGGCCATTTTGAGATATAGAGTATGCGTCACCAGGTTCGAATTTGACCTCTTGTTGCGATGTGGGCGGCCCTAACAATACTGGCATTGGCCCTCTCTTAAACTGGTATCGTGGAACTTCCTCGGCTGACAGTGGTACCATCGCGTTGGCTTCTGGCAAACTCTCCCTGACGCGCTCATACCAATGCTCAGCGCTATAAGCTTCCCTTTCGAAGAAGTTGGGCGACCAAACACCTCGATCTTTCTGTCCCTCGTCGTCCTGAATCTTCGGAGGAAGCACTGTCCAGTCCATCCAACGATCCAACATTCCCGTGACCAGCTTGACACCATCCTCATGACGTCCATACCACGCCTCAACGAGCTGCTTGCCTTTGAACCCGCGGTCGTAGGGCCCCCAATACGATCTCACAATGCGCCCATCCGCTACAGGCTCAAGATCGAGATATCCCGTGAAGCCCGCTGCGCGAACATTGAACGGCCTGATAGGCTTAACCCGTTGACGCGCAAATCTGTCCAGAACGCCATCTGGTTCGCTCACAGGGCCTTCGGACTCTGGATCTTCATTTTCCTCCTGCTCTTGGCCAAGCGCGAGCTCTTCGGCACTTTCTTCTGCAGCGGCAGTCTCATCAAAATTTTCATCCCGTTCTGCGTGTTTGGACGCGCGATTGAGAGCTTCTTCGTCGGAACTACCCTCGAAATCGTACTTCTCTACCGTGTATCGCTTCGTGCGATTGGATCTCCGAGTTCTCATGATGAAGTTGTGAGTGATGAGGATGGAAGCGAGCTGAGCTGGAGGTGTACTGAGATAAATTTTAGTGGGGAGGCTACTCTGTACAGCTCCCCATAACACTGGGGTTACCGCTAACGTTAGGTACCTTACTGAAGGATACTGAGTCACTAAACACTCCTGAGAATATTGTCCCATTTACCAGACTACCTTGGATATAGCTATTGACTTATCTGATGTTCATATATATCTTGTTTAGCTAGGAAACGCCATATTTCTTGTCGTTCCCTAGGTGCTTTTCTTTCTCACCAACTCTAAGGAAACACTGGAACACTTCCCTCGAGGTTTACTTGGAAGGCGAAAAGACCTGAAAGAATTGGTTGCATATATTGTAGTAGTCCAGAAAAATGTGGTCTTGGTCCGTCGCGGCGAGTTTGCATGAAAAAAATGTAATGAAGTGCCTTTTTCTTCTTCTCTATGGACCCTATTCCTGTCATCCAAAGGCCTGTCCGCGATCCTCCAATGTCCTCCACACTTTTCCGGTGAAGCAAGAATGGGTTTACTATAGCCTCTGGGAGTCAGAAGACTCAAGACCATACATCAACGTGAGAAAATAAACTGGTCAAAGGGCAAGCTAAGTTCATCATAAACTACACTAAGATATCCTGAATACTATCTAATGCGAGGTTTTCTGCCACCCCAGCATAGCCGATAGACCAGAAACAGAGCTTGGAAGAGACATGTGAGCCTTTAGCAATCGGCTTGACGGTATCGAATTGTCTGATCTGGTTGACAAGTGTCCCATCGACACACCTTGGCCAAGCCACATGATGGCTTTCTTTTCGTCATGGCCTGGCTGCATGTAGATCTCCTCATCTTGTTGGCCACGGGAGAAAGAATCATACATGGGCCCGTTAATGCTTCCTACAAGTGTTCTCAATAGCCACCCTCGGCGAGTTTCAAGCTTGACTGGCTGAAGATGAGAATCAGTAAACAAGCGGTACGATTTCTGTATAGAGGCGTGGAACTTACGCACAAGCTTGTAATCCTGAGATCGAATATCGATTTCCATGGCAGGGATCTTGGGTGCCAGATCTTCTACCACTTAAACACGGTTCGTGAGGTCATTGAGCTTCTTGTTAAGGGAATTAAGCTTGTCGTAAAGGGGCTGCAGCTTCCTATCAAGGAGTCTCTCAAGATCATCTACCGAATTGTGAAGAATAATGCCTGGCATGGCTGCTCTTTGTATACACCGCCAGTCGCTACTACTGACTGAATGGCTCAGTGAGGCGTCCGGACTGGCCCAGAGAGGTGGGCAACTATCACTCAGGGCTGGAAAGCTCTCTAAACTCGGTTATACTAGAGTTGGAAGATATGGTTGTATTGATTGATGATCTGATAGATAGAATTGGTGATGATATCTGGATGGATAACTTGTGTTTGTATAGTGGATTGATGGATTTCTGGTTGATGATATGTGTTTGAAAGAAAGAAAAAATGGGAGAGAAGATGACCAGACTCTACTGGGATTTTATCGAAGGGCTGAGTACTGAGTTAAACCTTCCTTTAAAGCTTGTGAGGGTATCTAGTTAAACCTTCCTGTAAACTTAGCAACTCTAAAAAAAAAAAAAAGGAAAGAAGCTCTTTCGAGCTTCGCCTCCAAAGCCGCGATAGTAGCTTGTAATGGGTACTGTCAGGAACTAGGTGTCGGAGTTGGGAACGGCTGCCGAAAACGGCCAAAGACATGAACGAATTTTCATGAAACATCATCAAGCTTTTGCTCAAAGAATGAAACACGGACTTCAACCCCATTGCGTGGCTTGAAACGAAGGATATCCAGAGGTCCTTCGTGCTGGTGTTTTGGTTACTGTGTCGCCCAACCCATCTCTCAATGGGAGGGAGATGGCAGCGACAAGATCATATTTCTGGGCAGCCTCAAAGATGTTGATCTGTTGGCTTCGCCATGCGTTAAGACGCCTGATGATATCTTATTGACCCTTTGGACACTGAGCTAGCAAACGAACATAGCATTGATCAAGACGAAGCTTGGAAATGTGGCATGATGATTGGAATGTGTACTCAAATCTCTTCCATTTGTTCTTACCATTTATCTTGGTGACTCTCCTGAGTAAGCCGTATGGTTACTGTGATTTGCCCCTGGTTTATGTTCAAGGCCGCTGCATCTCACAAACCAGACCGAAAAATCGCCCTGCAACCTATCAGTCACTCAATAACTCTCAGTCATGGGAATTGGCCACTGGTGATACCAAAATCGCTCATACAACAACATCAAACCTGCCATATTTCCCCATGTGTATAGTCAAACGGACTTATCTTATTGACAATCATGCAAGAAACCAGCGTAACACAGCCCATTGGAAACAGGGGAAAGTACAGTAAACTTATACTTGCAGCTACCATCGTACTCGCAACTTGTCAGAAGTGCTCGCTTGGTGATGGTGGTGGTTGTGGACAACCTCTGAAGGGACAATCAGAAGAGAAAGGCAAAGAGTGGACGCTCAAACAGTTGAATCTGAATATGCATGAGTGATCTCAAGGAGGCAATCCCAGGGAAACTGATTCAAATATTTGATTGCTGGTGAACTCGCCTCACTGCATTGCTTAGTACAAGACAATCGAACATACAACACACAGTTAGAGAAGGCAAAGATGAAGACATTCTCAGCGAATGATTGTATCCAGTCATAAAAACAACGCTTGTGACAAAAAATGCGTAAACAGCTCGACAAACCACTTTCCCAAAAAGATTAAGCAATAAGCGACGATAACCATTGACGCTGGGTGGAAACAATTGTCTAATGTCACGATGGTAAAGCCTGAAGTTCAGGCATGCCTCAAGTGACAACAATCGTGACGAAGAAGAAGCAACTGCCTTGGCCACATCATCTCAAAAAGTATAAATACCAGCATATTCTCACTCAAGGGTTCAATAGGTTTCAACAATAGACAAGCTACTACTCTAGATAAATATTGTATGGGTAGGAGTTCTGCCAGCTGGCAGCAACTGGCAGAAAGACCGGTGGTCAATGATGCTCTTGCTTGGCACCTAAGGTCGAATATAAGTCACCTCTCCTCCAAATTCTCTTCTTTTCCTTTCATCTCTTCTTGTTACACCTTGAATCCTTAAGAGGCCCTCCCACGATATTTGCATGAGCATTTCTTCAACTACTTGCGCTTCGCTTTGCAACTATGGAGACCTCTCAAGAAACCGGTATGTGAACCAAAAGGCCAAGCTGAAGGAAGAAGACTAACTGTTATGTAAGAAGAATGCATCACCATCATCCCCAACGGGGACGTCGTTCTCCTGGTCGGTAAGTCCAGGACAGTGGTTGAGGTCACTTCTTCATTCATGAAGCACATCTCACCCGTATTCGAGAGGATGCTGGCCCTACCGATGCTCGAGGGCGAGGCGGTCCGTTCCTTCGATGGAACGGACCCGGTCGCCATCGAGCTTCCGGCTGAGCAGCCCGGCGCAATGATAATTGCGCTCCGGGCGCTCTATGGGTCAGACCCCGAGTGCCTCACCGCTGAGCCTCGGGACATCCGAGACGTGTCTGACCTGGCAGACAAATACGACATGGTGCTGAGGCTTCGTCCGATGGCGGCCATCTGGCTGGGTTACCCAGCGGTAACAACAAGCCAGCCCGACCACCAGGCCGGCTGGGACCTGCTGGTGGCCGCCTACCTTTTCCGCATGGAAGAGGAATTCTTCGCGATCAGCCAGTTCTTCCTTAGAACGGATATCCCTCTTCTAGAGTATGCCCTGGGAACGCCCGACGAGAACCTTGGTTTGAGGTTGGCCTGTAAGTCATCTTTCAGACAAGATCATTATCAGTACTAATGTTGCGAGTAGTGGCCATCGAATCTGTGCGGCTCGCAAACTCCACCAACCACGTGGATATCGGTCTCTGTCTTGGATGCTTTTCCACAGCCAGACAGAACTTCGTCGAACGGCAGCCCGGTTGTCGCTTCACAATGCGGCATCTGTGGTAAGCCCACACATAGGGAGGAATGGCACCAAGCTTCGTTAGATCATACGGGTTCATTGAACAGCGCCTTTCGGGTTCACAGCCCTCATCAACAACTTAAATCAAGCGACTTTCTTCATGCAACCAGCAAACATCGGATCATCTAGCCTTACCTGGTAGATGAGAGAGATATAACAAGTGTCCAGACTAAATCGAGATAGTGAAAGCTCAGCTTGCAAAGTGTGACTTCCCACTCAGTGGCGTGTTGCATTTACGACTTTGTAATAAGAATCCCAAGTTGAATCTCATTCTTAATTAGATTTGGAGACGTTTGAGTAGGTCGGGCACGGGTAAGTTTATATACGATAGGTAAGGTAGGTGGATGTGACAGTAGTTCGCATTCTCCAATCCTAGACTCGGCATTGAAAAATTATATATACTCAGACTTACCAACGCTTACCGGAACGAAGACATTGGACTATGTATCGGTTGTTTTGTAGCTGCCACGAGCACTTGCGTGGATCAACAGCCCGGGTGTCGACACTCACGTCGGCACCTGGTGCTGTAATTCTTTAACAGTAAGACCCGGAGAGATCTCACTAAGCCAGACCATGCTTCACCTCCAGGACACACACAAGGCTTACCCAGTATGGCACTGCCACCATGCGTCAGGTTCCGGATTGTTGAGTTCCATGGTACTGCCAGTTCAGGTCACTCCTCCTGTACTCAATGCATACGATTTCCAGAGCAGCAGCTTCCGCCAGACCCACGTAACCTACAAAGACACCACAAACTCGCTCAAGCTATCATGCTAACATTTCAATAATATCATCAGGCTTTTATTTAATATTAAGGCCCGATCACTCTCTCATCTTAGCACAGAAATGCAGGGCAGCACCAACAACATTAGTCTTGAAGCCGACCTCCCCATTCTTGTCGGCAATGAACGTGTGCTCAAGATGCCGTCGGCCTTCTTTAGACTCGTCTTCCCCGTTTTCGACACCATAATGGACTTGAACATGACCGAGAATGTACTATACAGTAATCGACAACTGGGGGAGGTTTTTGAGGTCGCCCTCCAAGCTGTCCGCGGTGCCGGCGTTCTCGGTGCGTCCCGAGATTTATATGTATAGATAAAACCTCTACGGAGGCTGACGGAGTTCCTGGCGTTGTGATCCGCGATATTGGGAGATTTAACGAGATATATAATATAATACCCCGATTTCCGATGGCAAGCACTGTCTGGATGATGAATATCCCGACTATCGCCGAGGACAGATGGCGGATGGTGGTCGCAGTATACTGGCTGCGAGATCAGACTGGCTTTCGGGTCATGTCTCAAGAACACCTGGAACAGTCGACCACGCCGACCTCCAAGCAGGATTCGACCTTCTAGTCGCTTCATAACCAGACGCCTGAGGTAGCCCTCGGGATGAAGCTGGACAGTAAGTGTATTGTGCTATGCCATGTTGAGACATAAAGCTGGCTTCTTTTGATAACAGTGGCGATTCTACTGCTGCACCATGCCCCCTTCCAGGTCATAGCCCGACCTGTAGGAGGGTTGAGACTGCGATGTTTCCTGCTATAGAGCGATGATCCGGCCAGTATGCTATACTATTTAAAAAGATGTTGCTATCTCGATTACGCGAGAAATTATATTGTTGAAGACGATTCGGGAATTGAAGCACAATGAGAACACAGAGATGCGAAGTAGACTTAGTTATATGGTACTTTGACTTATAAGCTATGTATTGTAGAGTAGTAATTCGGCCTGAAAGTGCCAGTTCTCCCAGACGCCTTTGTTTGAACCATTTTCCACGTGATGTTTTGCAAGTCGAAGTCCACCTCTTCGGGATATGTATGGAGTAATGCGAGATGTATATATATGTAATCATCAAAGAAGGCCAGGCAGAAATTCTTTACTGGTTTCTGTAACTCGGCACACAAAGTAACAGCCGTGCTGTGAACCACGTTGACAGAACAAGCAGAGGCCGCCCTCGAATTCTGTGCCCCCTTTCTACCATAAAACCAACGAAACCGACTACTCTCAGACAGATTGAATACACAGTACTTCTGAAAGAGGAAGCTTTATTGGCCATCTGAAGTGTCCAGAACATTGATGCCTCCCCGGATGAAGTTATAAAGGAGGAGACCTGATGTCAGGAGTTTGAGAATGATAGAGGGTCACACCACAGATGGCATATGGCACATGTCAAAGGTCCGGGCTTTGAAGACATAATGAAACAACAGATAAACTTCAGACATCACAAATGAAGCCCATAAGCCAACGTACAGGGCAGTCCAAGGCACATGACCACAGGGATTCGCAACAGGACTAAAGGTGTGAGTGAGTAAACAGCAAGTTGAATGACTAGATCTACTAGAATGACCATTCGCCCAATTGTATTAAGGATCTAATCTTAAACATGGAGTAATGGTAGTTCTTGTCGTTGTCGTTGTGCAAGAAACTCTTTCCTCCAACCCACCCCTCCCCGTCGATGTTCTGGCATACAGCGAGGCTCCCCATCTACCAGTGCGCAGACCGATATGATCAACCAGAGCGGTGGTTATATGGGTAGGGGCAGCCTGGTTGCATTCCCACAGGATCAATCGCCGAAATCTTGAAACAGCGTAGGCATAACCCTCCCTTCGGATGCGCCATGCGCTGTGAGAGTGAATAGTGTAAGAGAAGGACGGCCACTGCTCAAAAAGGTCAGCATTATATCACAACTGCATCAGATATATATATAGATAAAGACTCACTGCCTAGCTTTAAGCCCAAAGCGACGTCATATGTCTCGTTGGCGAGATGGAAAATTTGCGCGTGGTTAAGTTTAGAGACTATATGCTCACTCATCCAGCGAAACCCATCCTGATTGTCAAACCAGTAAGAAGCTGTCATAAGCTTCCAGGCTTGCTCAAGAGTGATAGGGTCATGCATCCAGGCGATAGCAGCCAGGGCAAAACGAGATGACATGTCATACTTGTCTACGACAATAGAGACTTTCTGGATTTGGTCAGGGTTGAGGAATAGCATCTTTGGGTCTGACCCATGTAAAGTTTTTAACGCCTGGGCAGTCGCCACCCCGTCGTCTTCTGGGAGTTTGATATCGACCGGTAACTCGTTGCTCTCATGGAGCCTGATGCCTTCCGAGAACTTGAGGTTCAACATGGCGCCGAATACCGGAGACGCGAGAGTCAGGAACTGGGAAGAGACTTGAATTCGAAGTTTTTCGGGGCCGACGACGAGAACTACGTCTCCGTTGGGAATGATAACTTCGTCAGGGACATTGATATCTGCTAATTGTCAGAACAGCCCCGGAATAGTGACGATACTGTTACATATATGACATTGACGACATAATTTGGCCTGAGTTTACGCTCATTGCCGCGATATATAGCTTGTGTGGTTTTGTAGGCGGTAGAGTGTTGTTGTGATATTGGGGGTGAAGATATATGAACTGGTTATTGAGTGGAGAAAGGTTTAATAGAATCGAGGAAGTCAAGAGAAGGAGACGGCTACGTAGGATAAGGTACTGAGAAGGTGACCAAGTCAATGATTTGTGGGTTAGGCTTTTCTGGTTTCATGAACAGTCGCTGAGTGTTTGCTGCCAGTCACTGACACCTGGTGAACATGGCTTATCATAAATGGGACGGAAGAAAACAGAATACAAAAAGTAAGAGAAAGGACTTGGTAGTAACGGACAAGCGTCTCCTGGGGATCATTGACGCCTAGGCCGACTTGACCCGTTTCCCATCACAAGTCTCTCTATCGTGAGCACAATATGAGGCACTGGGACCTTGATTGGCTCAATGTGCTTAAACGTCTTTGCTTTGCATTTATATAGGAAATAAAGAAACGATAATCCAGAGATGCTCATCCAGTGACAAGAATGAGTGTCCCGTTCGGGACAATCGTGAGGCCTGAAAGAGAGCGTATCGTATGCCTTCCGCGAAGTTGCTACTCAACATCGCGCGGAATACGGGGCTTATGACGCAAAGGAAATTATACAGTTATGCGAACTCTGAGGCGAATTCGACCAACGACTAGGGACTAGGAAAAGCGTCCCGTTGGGTACAATGATAATATCTGAAAGAGGTCAGTATCTTAGGTCATGGGGAAGCGAGGCGCATACCGTTCATCTTGGATGTCATTGAATAATGAAGAAGAAGAAGAAATTTGTTTGTGTCGACGGCTCGAGATATGTTATGAATGTGTCGCTACCGATCCACATTTGCCAATACCTTGCATCTGGCACTGCACAGCAGTGCCAACTAGCAACATAAAATCACCTCTATTATTTACTGATGGCCAATGTTTCATGTAAGGGCTGTTATACCAAGGAAAGACCATCTCTTAGCCTCTTATTGCCTGTGCCTCAAGCAGAAGAGTTACACCCTGTATGCACCGTAACGGCGTAGAGGAACACATCATGTAGAACTTTAATAGAATATTTCAGTCAGGCAAACTTGCTAGGATGTCTTGGTGTCCTGGAAATAAAGAGAAGGAGTAGTCAGCAATGCCGAGCGAGGGCACTGGCCTGTATTTATAGACGGTTGCTGTAGTTTGCTGACCTTGTTGACCTCCTTGTTTGTGCAGCCTTTTTTCATAACATTTTTGTTTCTTGTTACATTAACAAACTGATTGATGATTGAACTGCTCAGAAGCAAACCTGCATGATGCAGGCACTGAGTCGTTTGGTGATGACCTCACGCAAACCTGGTCCCTAACCTGGAGAGCAAGCAGCGGAAAGCTGTATCGTACCAATTTTGTCGTAACTCATGTTAGGTGTAAGGAAAAACAGAGCACCAAGATTTCTTCAGTATTATGATTATTTCCATTTAGAGATTGTTCTGATGTTAGTAAGATATCTGAGGTCGAAGGGCCAGTCAAGTTTAGGGGTCAGGCATTGATCCACTGCCAGCTGCTGGCAACTGTCAAGTGCTCCCAGACTAAGCCAACTTCTTCTTATGCCTTGAGTAGGAGGTGGGGGCCTGGAGAACCAGAATTTCTAGAAACTTGGTATCTCTCTCTCTCTCTCTCTCTCTCTCCTCCATCTTCATCCATCTTCTTCAACAGCCGCATCCGCCAAGATGGGCACTTCACTTCCAGTCCTCAACGCCGACAAAGATGGTTCTCCCTGTATGTTATACTGGTCTCCTTGCATCAAAATATCGTAATGACTAACCTTTTAAGTAGCAGGTTCTGTCTTCAAACTCGTTCCCGACGGCGATGTTATCCTGGTGGTTGGCCCAAGTCAGCACAAGATCCAGGTGTCTTCACACTTCCTCAAACTCATCTCTCCTGTTCTTCGAGTTATGCTCAATGCTCCGATGAAGGAAGGAGAAGCACTTGCAAACAAATGCGACACTGACGGCCCCGTTGAGATCTTTCTTCCTGAGGACAAGGAACAGCCGATGGCGCAGGTATTGCGTACCCTTTACGGCTCAGACCCAAGCACCAAAACGTACCCGATGAGTGAAGTCAAGGTGATCGCAATTCTCGCGGAGAAGTATGGAATGGTTGAACGTCTCGAAATTTTTGCATCTTTCTGGCTCATCTCCGCCGTCAAGGTGCGCATGACAGAAGTTTCCGAAAATGCCTGGAACGCATTGGTCGTCGCATATATCCTCAAGATCGATTGGGCATTCTTCTCCATAAGCATGGCCATGCTCAAGACGAGGAACAGCCTCCTTAAGTTCGTAGCCAGCTTTCATGACAAGCATACTGGTCAGCGCCTTGGAAGTAAGTCAGAAATACGTTTCCCTTGCATGTATGGATATGATACTGACAATACTTATTTCAGTGGCTATTGAAGAACTGCGCAGTACCTACTTGAGCCAGAAAGGGACCACCAAGCTCGAGAAAGGCCTGTGCCTGTTCTGCTTTTCCCGCGCAACTGACTCTTTCACCCGACAGCGTAAGGAATGTAGCCTCCATGATCGTCATTTTTACGTTTGAGAACCGGGACATTGGTCTCAGTCGATAAAAGAGAAGATCGAGACGAGTGCGCCGGTCTTTGGGAAGACAGAAAGGGAAAATGAAATGGTTGGTCATTGGTAAATGAGTAGATTGATTGAAAATTACTATTTGCTTTATACCAGTATTAATCTGCGCTGTGTACTTGGCTGTGATTGCCATCACCAAGCCAGGCTATGTTCTCAACCGCACATTGCTCACCGTGAAGATTGTAAAAACAACTAAGAATATTCTGTGCCCCAGAGAAAATCGCATTTTAGAAACAAGAAGACTAAACTTTTGATAATTAAAGTTGAAATGAAAGAAGAAAAAGAACTAAATTTTGACCCATTTTGAACTTTCCTCTTTAGCCTGGGTAGGCTCTGTGAAGAGTTTGGTACTCATCGACTTATCGCTCCCTTGAAAACCACCGAAACAAAAGAATTCACCTTCCCTATGCCAAGCCCCGACATAAGGAGAACCTTCCATAATCCCATTCGAATATTGTTTGGGTATATGGCCCAGAGCTTCCCATACAGCGACATTGACCGTGCTGAGCCATGACCTCAGCATAGTCCCCCCTGGCGTCGCGAATCGACCCTGGGTTCGATTCAAGTCAGTTATGTATTGTGGAGGAAGAAGAATATCTTACAGTATATATCGGCTTCAATACCGTGAGCGTGTGGCACCCGTACATGTAAGCGACAGTTATAATATGCCCTCTCGTCCCTCACTAGTCGTTCGCTGAGATTGGAGAATTCAAAACGGAAATCTGGGAGGTCAGGGAGAACCATGTAGTACGCTGCCATCATTAGGTACCAACAGTCTTCTAGACCAAAGAACCGATGCGCAGGATGAAAGTGCCTGCCACAATATCTGGGGCGGAACCAATTTGAAGCAACCTTCCTGAATTCAGGAATCATCTTATACTTCCTGGCAAATATGACCACATCGTAGATCTCTCCCGGTGATAGATCGTCCGCATGGGGATTGCCGGGATAGATGCTGCCAAAGGCATTTCGAGCCGCTGTAGCATCATCGTCAGGAAGCCTGAGCTCGAAAACCCGGCCCGTATTGTCAGCGCCAGTGATATTCCTTCCATCAAGCATGTCTGAAAGAACAGATGAAGACACGCGGGCAGCCTGAACTGTGATCCGCACCCTTTTTTCACCCGCTCCGATGATGAGTACAAGATTACCGTCGCTTATGATCTCTTGCTCGTGTGGAAAGTTTCCTAAAGCATGGTCAGTAAAACGAAAGGAGTGAGCAAGAGGTTCCCTACCACCAACCAGGCTTACACCCTGTCGGTCTGGCATGCTCTGGTTTGAGTCTGGCCGTGTGATAGAGGATTCAGGAGTCGGAGTTGGGATTGGCATGGTGATAGCTTAGAGATGCCGGGAGATGTATATGTGACTTGGGAATGTGACTGGGTAACGGCAGGGCTTTTGTTAGGATAAGGTTGCAAGGGGAAGAGTGGTACCTGTTGCTCAGGTGACTGAATTGACTCGAACACAGGGCTAGGGAAAGGAAGATGTTGCTTTAAGAAGACAGTTGGTTGTGTAAGAGAAGGAAGAGCAGAAGGGAACGTACGGGCGCGAGAAGAGAAAAACGTGTATGCTTCCGACAGAGTCAATGGACAGACAGTATAAATAACCAGAGAAATCTGCGCAGAACTTTATCATTAAGAACGCTAAAGGGCAAACAACAGTAACGAGAAGTACTTTGATACGTTGATCGCTGACACTGAAAGGGCGGTATTCTCACTTCTTTCATGTGGGCCATGAAGACATCCTCCAGTTGGTACAATATAACTCAGAAGTGACGCAATGAGAAAGTACTATCAGAGAATCATGAAGACAGAAAGTCAAAAGAAAGGACACTTGTTTACTGCTACCATATACAGATGGTCACAGAGAACTCGAGAGGTTCATCAGAGTCAAAGGCTGGCTGGGTACTACCTTGGTCATTGAAGTTGAGTGAGAGACTTCAGGACGGCGGGCCATAGCCCTCAGAATAGACTCTTCAGAATCCTGGGAAATAAAATTATGTCAAAAGCAACTTTACTTTTATTTGAAGTTTGACTGGTTTAAGCTTGTTTAAGATGCTTAACGTATGTAAAATCTTGTACATCTTCACGGTTTTTGCCTTGTCGCGAGGCTGAAGCGCAGAGCATGTAAGGAAGTGATGCTACGACAATGAGGTCGGTGATGGTCATGAATCACTCTCCTCCGGGCGTCCACTCAATTATAAGAGTATGGCCTTGGTTTGGCTAGACATTGGCTTACCACTTCTGCAAGCAGCTTTCTCCTCTTTCAGACTCCAAAAATATGTGCCCCGTTGACCATTTTGCTACCACAAGCAGTACAGACACCCCTTCCTCTTCCTCATTACAAGGCGCCCGTTACGCCTGGTCCCAAACGGACTTAACTTCAGACCAACCAGTCATGGCGAACCCAGAAGAGGCCACCGAGACTGTAGCTCAGCACAGATTTGTCCGAGACTTGATACCTGGAGGCGACTTGATCCTCGCGGTTGGTCCGCACAGAACTCTCTTCAGGGTTGCGTCAGCCTTTCTCTGCGAGATATCGCCTGTGTTCGCAGTAATGTTTGGGCCAAACTTTGAAGAAGGAAATCGCCTGCGCAGTCGTCAGCCTGAAGACCCCGAGATGGTTCTCGAACTTCCCGATGACGATCCTTTAGCTTTCGACAACACCATCCTCGTGCTTTACGGGTCGGACCCTTCGACACAGGACTGTGACCCAGAAGATATTCAGAGGATTTCAATTCTTGTCGATAAATACGATATGGTCTCGCGCTTTATCTTTGCTTCGGTGTATTGGTTTGCGAAGTATGCATGGGCAGATGATCCTGAAGAGACATGGCAACTCACAACTGCTGCTTACTGGATGCAAAACCCTGATGCTTTCTTTACTTTTAGCAAGAAACTCGTCAAGCAGATGCAACCTTCTCACTTGAGCCACGTCGCGAGCATGCCCGACAAAATGCTTGGGCTTCGACTTTGCTGTAAGACATCCACAGTTGTCTGGGCGGGTCTTGTACCATTCACGTTATCTCAAAACTAATTTTTGTCAGTGGCGATCGAAGAACAACGTGTTCACACGCTCGCGAACGAAGTTAAAGCAAAAGGTCTTTGTTTGTACTGTTTCGGCCGGACCAAGGTTGGATTTACTTCGCGTGTCAAGGGGTGCAAGAATCGCAAGTACCACTGATTTCTAGAAGATTCCGTTCTTTGGCTTCTGCGATAATAAGGAAGCTTATAAGAGCACGTGTGATCGCAGCATTGTGGGATAGGGATTGCTTGGTTGGTCTTCCATGGGCAAATGATCAGAGATTCGGAGGTCTGTGAAAGGACTCAGTAGATAGACAGTTTTGCTGGCAATGGGTAAGGCCTAGCGCTGATTGAATGGCTTGCTACAATTATATAATTTCGTTTAGGCTTACAAGATTTTCTCTTTTTGTGATTTAACTTCCGAGTTGTTTGTATTTGAGTTCTCACAACTTGACAATGTGAAGTCGTCAATTGCTGTTGCTCGAATGTATTTCCCGGTGATTATCCGAACACCCCTTGATACAGCAAGCTCACAGCTTCCCTTCATCAAAGGACATCGATAATTCATCAAATACGAGGACATGAGTGAACCGCAAAGAACGGGGAGTCAAGGGCACTCCAGAAATAAGTCCATCACCAAGAGTACGCCTCAAAATGATTCCGTGGTCGACGTTGATGCTGCCCGGTGCGGGGCATTTCATGTCTCCAAATGAGCATCGTTAACAACAGCGATACCGGTGCGACACAGCTAACTCTGTCTCAGCCCGACCGAGATCCTCTACGAAAGGACCTCTCGACCTTGACGAGTGAGTAAAAAAATATGGGTTGGGCCCAAGGATCTGGGAATATTGACACCTTGTGTACAGTGACCCGTTACTGTCACCTCAGCAGCCGGCCCCTCAGCGAGTGGCTACGCATCGCAATAGAATCTCATCACCACATCCGCGCTCATCTACAGCGACCCCAGTCTCACAACTTGGAGAGGCGAAACCCAAAGACTTTTCGTTTCTTTTGAGACCAGAGATTTACCACCCCCTGACGCCTCTCAACGTTCCTGTTGCATTTCGTAACCCACAAAAGCAGCCCAATCCCGAGGCTCCCATTGAGGAGCTCCTTGCCAGCGGTCACTTCAGAGCAGCGGCTATTGCTGCTGTCCAGGAACTCACAGGCTCTGGAGCCAGTGGAGGAATTAATCCTACAGATTCCAAAAGGATATTTGAACTTCTTTACACTCGACTGGCATGTCTTACCCTGATTGATGCGACTCCCTTGGCTGCTCAGGAGGTCAAAGCCTTGGAAGATCTCAACGACATCAGGAAGTATGTAGACGAAACTACCGGAGAACATCTGGTACCCTGGGAACTTAGAGTTCTTAATGTACGTCTTCAGTCACTTGGCTTCGGCGATTATCGCCGAGCTGTTATGAGTTACCACGACCTCGCCCGCGAAGCTCGTGATCGTATCAGCAAAGCAGCAGCTCAACACGATAACTCCGCAAGAGAACTCTGGAAAGCTCGTCTTCACGATCTTGGTATACAGGTTGCTGGAGCTCTGATTGAGCTCGAAGACCTCACAGGCGCAGCGCATCACCTCAGCACCCTGCGAGATCGAGGCGATGGTAAGATGGCACTCACCAAGGCACTTCTGTGGCTTCACCTGGGTGATGTAGATAGCGCCAGGTCCTGCGCACGTCAAGCAATGGAAAACGATGAAAACGTCGAGAAGCTAATCTTGGCACTCTGTGACATGGCTGACGCAGAGTACGAGACAGCCCTTGAAGCGTGGAAGGAATTGAAGGAAAGTTTGGACGACGAAATGGTTGGCGTCAACACAGCCGTATGCTTGTTGTATCTCGGGCGGATACAGGAGGTATGTTTATCGTGGACACATGTGGTGACCAGCGTGCTAAACTTTCTTAGGGACGCGCAATATTGGAGGGCCTTGTGGATTCTGGATTATCGTCCCATACTCTCTTGTTTAACCTATCGACTATGTACGAGCTATGTACCGAGAGACACAAGAACCTGAAACTCAAGCTCACAGAGCGGGTCGCTGGCCTAGATGCATCGACTGCAGGCTGGGAAAAGACAAACAGCGATTTTAAGCTGTAGTTGTATATGCAGCGTCCTGCTTCGATCTAGTACATCTTTTCTGAAATCCATCAGCTGTGCCGATGTCTTGAAGTTGAATTGGATCTAGGAATGTGCAAAGACCGCTGTTCGCCCTCTTTCGTGCAATTAGGGGCTCAGAGAGCGTCAAACTCTCCCGTGACGTTTTCAGTGAAAAAAAAAGTCCGTCGTGCTTGAGTTCCAAGCTCCTTGCGCTACCCGACGGTGTCTCGTCCAAGACTCATCCAGAGGTGAACGGAATGAGCCGTAGTCATGCGTTGCATTTATCACAACGCCATTTGCTTTAACTGCAGCGACGGTTGAGCTCGGGATCCCGACACTAAGGGAAGATTGCCGGGGTGACATGTTGAGGGTTGACCTTGTGAAGCTCACAGCACTGTCCGCAGAAACATCGGTCCGGCAGTATGTATGCGAGACCAAGTAAGAAGTCATCGTTGTCTTCTTTGGTCATGGTGTTGAGTGTGGAATCCCTCTTTGCTGGACGTTTCATAGTTTTGCAAGTCTGTGAGAGGAAAAACAAGGCGTGAAGCTCCGTATGGTCCAGGATACACATGATAACTTCAGCTGGACAGTCCAGTAAGCGGCTGTGGCTTCCTGAGTTGGTTGACATGAGAAATACGCTCCGAGTCGATAGAAGTCGGTTGTTTTGATGGAAAGATTGGAGTGTCAACGAGAAATGAATGTGTGAAGGATGTTTCAAGAGGCAGAGACTGCCAAAGTCTTCTTATTCCTATACTGAACTCCGGAAAGATAATGTCTTTGAGAAAATGCGCAAATTCAGGAAGCCGTGAAGTATAACGAGGGCATAGTATCATAGCCTTCCCTACAGATGCTTTAACTTGACTGTAAAAGAATGTCTCTAATGGTTTCAATAATGAGAGCAGTCACTGATGGCTGTTCTTACCTCAGCAACCAAGCAAGTCGTTCATCCGTACCTTACAGGTTATACCGGAATTCAGCCTAGGTATAAATTATGATCAAGATGATGTATCACATCTACAGGAGGCCAAAAAAAAAACCCCCCAGGATCTATATCTTGGGTGACAAAATTATTTAGTCAAGCTTAGTATTAGTTTGGTGGGTTGTTGGACTGGCTACTTTTGGCAGCCTAGACCAAGGTCAGAAGCTTTTTTGCTCCCTGAGGCTATCCCCATCAAGTCCGGAGCTACCCCACATACCGTTGAACCTCGGCTCAAATACGTCGATCTCGTCGATCCTCAGGGTCATTAAAGGACCTGAATCTGGGGAAATGTCCATGATTTCTGGTCCTGCTTATTGTTTCAATAATCTACTTTATGACCCAATAGAACATTACCCAATAAATCGACATGTCGGACCGTGTTAGTCAACTCGCTGGTCATCTCAACTATCCCAAAGGCCTACTCGCTGGCCAAGTAGCTATCATCACAGGCAGCGGCCAAGGAATCGGTGCAGAAGCAGCTAGGCTCTTCGCCAAAGAGGGCGCGAAAGTTGTTGTTGCAGATATCGACGCGGGTAAGTGGTCTTATCCTATGCTCACAAAACACTGGTGTCTAACTCTAGCTCAAATAGAAAAGTGCAAGGCTGTTGCTGATGATATTAACAATAATGGCGGCCAGGCTATAGCTGTGCCTGGAGATATTCTCAAGGCAGAGTATATCAATGATCTTATTAAGAAAGCTGCAGACTTTGGCGATGGAAAGATCAATATCATCGTCAATAACGCGGGCTATACTTGGGATGGCGTCATTCACAAGATGACAGACAAGCAATGGGATACCATTCTCGCTCTTCATTGTACTGCACCTTTTACTCTCGTCCGCGCAGCAGCGCCTTACTTCCGTGTACGCGATGGTGCTCCTCGTTGCATCGTCAACATCTCATCCACATCTGGTGTGCACGGCAATGCGGGACAACTCAATTACTCTCTTGCAAAAGCGGGCATCACAGGCTTCACAAAGACAATTGCGAAGGAGTGGGGTCCTTCTTTTGGCGTGAGAGCGAATACTGTTGCCTTTGGACATATTCTCACAAGATTGACGGCGGCCAAAGAAGATGGTGCGTTCGTTACTGGACCAGATGGTGAGAAAATTGCACTGGGTATTCCAACGAAGCAGAAACAGGCGGCGGGTGATAATGCCCATGCAGATATTCCGCTGAGGAGAGCTGGTACTGCGACTGAGGCGGCGAGCGCTGTTCTGGCTGTGGCGAGTCCATTGTTCTCGTACGTAACAGGTCAGACCATCATGGTCACCGGAGGTCGTAATATGTAGATATCCAGGCTGCGAGTTAGATGTCCTGGGTCAGTTGGAGAGGGCTTCAATTGATGAAGAAACGTGGTATTATATTAAACGGTACTATACTTCCCCGAACGCCCCCATCCAACAAGATGTGTCCCTTTTGTACATGTCATTCCATTCTTAGACCTTGAGCCACAGGTTGAAGACACCCTGGGCATACTGAACAATCTCATCGCCACCAAGCTTGCTCTCACCATACAGACGATCGACGAAAGAGATGGGAACCTCAGCGACGGTGCATCCCAAAGCCTTCGCACGCACCATAAGCTCCATCTGGAAACTGTAACCCTTGCTCTCAGTGCTAGCAATAGCCTTCTCCAACGCAGCACGCTTGTAAAGTCGGAAGCTGCCAGTCAGGTCACTCACGCCAGGGCGGAGGACAGTATCGGCGAACAAGTTGGCGCCACGGCTGACAAACTTGCGCTTGAGATCCCAACCGAAAACACCACCGTTTCCAGCGTAGCGAGTACCTGTGACGATGTCGTAGTTGCCCTTGGCCTGGAGAGCGACCATCTCGGGGATGAACTTGGGGTGGTGCGAGAAGTCGGCGTCCATGATGATGACAAAGTTGCCGGTGACGAACTTGAGACCGTGGACGTAGGCTGTTCCGAGGCCGAGTTTGCCAGCGCGGGGCTTGAGGAGAACGTGGGGGGAGTAGACCTTGACAAGCTGCTGGGCAACTTCTTGGGTTCCGTCGGGGGAGCCGTCGTCGACGATGATGAGTTCCCAATCGAGGTTGCTATTTCGGTTAGCTTTTGCCTTTTAAATCTGCGTGCAAGATGGTACTGACTTCTCAGTAAAGGTGCGGTTCAACAACCAGGTAATGATGGGCAGGTTCTTGCGCTCATTGTAGGTTGGCAAGATAACCGAGTACTTGTTCGTCTTTGCGGCCATGGCGGACGATTAGAAGGGGGTATCGTTTCGAAGAAGGATATTAAATGAGGAGCGACCTGAAGAGAAGAAAGATCAAAGTTCGATCGCGAACGACAAAAAGAGCGTGGGAAATTTGGGTAATCGCGTTGTTGGATGTCTCGTCGTTATTCGCGTCAAGCCACTCTAAGGGGACACCTTGAAGCTGGCGATTGGGGATGGACAGGGGTGACTAAGCTCACGATGGATGCCCCTGAGTTGGCTGTGGCTGTGCACGACTTTGTGTGGCTGGCGAGGTACAAGCCTTGGTTTGGTTGATGCCGATCTGCTAACATGGATGGATGATTTTGGACCATGACATGACATGCAGGTTGCAGGGCTTGAGATTGTCAATTCTGCGTCATGTTGGTCAGCTTTTGAAACAGCAGAGGTTTTCTGGTCACTCGAGGTCTTTTTGTTGGGTCGTCGACCGATTGTTCAATATTATCACGGCTTAACGTTGTTGAACAAGAAATTGTTAGAAATTTACCGTCTGGTACTGAACACAGAGCCTCTCTACCTCTTCACCAACCTCGCGTCCACTTCTCCAGCAAAATCAAGTACCGGTACTAAGCCCAGCCTGTGTATCACTGGTTCCGGCGGTCCACCCTTCAAGTCCTCTTTTTCCAGATCGGTGGCTTACAATTGAAGCTTGTGGTTCCTTCGAAGAGCTCTCGACCCACCAAAGCTCCCTCTTGTTCCCCGCAAAGCGACGCACCACAACGCAAACGCAGCTGGGAAAAAGGACTAGGAACTGGGATCCTTGACCCAGAGACCAAAAGCCAATCCGAGATGACGACCAAGTCCGTCCCGATCTACAGAGTTCACACCGTCAAGTACGGGTGTTCCTTGGGCTAACCTCACAGTCCACAGAGTCGCAGTCGAGTGACGAAAGGGCGCTTTTCCTTGCCCCAATGCGTGCTATGCGTTCTCCTCTTCCAATTCCCTTGCTCATCCCGTCCAAGTATCTCGTCACTCGTTTCTCGCGGGCGAGGAACCTCGATGCTGTTTGTGCTCCCTCCGCCTCGGCCTCGGAGCTACCCATGCCTTACCAATTTGCTTCTGGCTTCTCTCTCTCTGTCTATGCTGCTTCTGTTTCTAGGCAAGGTAGCTGTGGATGGGCATGGCTTTGTGGAACCGACCGTCGTGACTTGCCTCGTGCCTTCCATTGCCAACCTCACTCCCCTTCTTCGTGTCTCGTTCCCCGACCTTGACCTCCTTCCTACATCAACATTGTGAAGCTTCCTCACTCTTGTAGCCTCAGAAATTATCGCATATATCTCTCGTATCCATTATTGACTTCGCCGTGTCGCGCAAACACACGCTTATAAGCTAGAGTCAACTTGCGACAGCAATTGTTACGTCATCATCATGTCGGACGGAATCGCTCCAGCTATAGACAAAGGTACGTTCCATCGCCAACCATCTCAATGGCCTCGCTTCCATCGCGTCTGATGTAGCGCTTCGCAATTGACATGTTTGCGATGGCTGTTGAGACCTCCGTGGCTCACCACTGCGCTTATACACACAATTCTGAGCTGACATGCCCTAGTCGGCGCACCTGAACCCACGGCCCCCGAGGCCGAGGCCGGCGCTCCCACTTTGGACACCACGACAGCTCCTTCGGAGCCCGCCAAGCCGGAGGAGACCAAGCCCACTGACGGAGCCGGTGGTCTCAGCGCCCCGCCGAAGCCCGTCGAGGTCGCGTCTGTGCCAGAGACACCCGTCAACAACATGACACCCGCAGGCGGCACTCCACGACCCGTGCTCAACCTCGAAGAAGAGCCGAAGGAAACGCCAAAGAACGAGGACGAGAATGCGTTCATCATTGATGCTCAACCGACCTCGGCCCCTGCTGTCTCCGCCCCAAAGGATGTCCCCATGACTGGCAATGCTGCCGACGACAAGCCCGCAGGCATCAACGGCGCCAGTAAGCCTGAAGTCAACGACGTCGCCGAAGCGGCTGCAGGCGAAAAGCGTAAGGCTGAGGAGCCCCCTGCCGCTACTAACGGTGCATCCGCTCCCGCTGCGGCAGAGAAGTCTGAGTCGGAGGAGCGCGCCGAGAAGAAGGCTCGCGTTGAAGATGTTGCAGACGAGCCGACCGCCACTGAGAATGCTGCACCAAACGGTAAGCACGAAAATGGGAAAGCTGCGAAGAAGGACAAGAAGGCCGCCCCGGTTGCTGGGAAAACGGCACGTAAGACGCGAAGTCAGGGCCCTGTTGAGGTTTAGCAGTAATGCGAATTTGCAGGCTTTTCTTTGATCTACTATAATGGTTTATGAATGCTGCAGCACATGATTTTGGGGGTGGGACGGCGAAAATGGCGGATGGGAACGGGAAAAGGAATAACATCCCGAGATCTGCCTGGTTCAAGGATTTGTGGGTATATTTGTGCGTCAGGTAGTAAACACTGTTTGCATTTGCCATTTCATTAATTATACAGTGCTCTATTGATTAGAATGCTCTATCAGCGACTGTATCTGCCATGATATCGTTGCACTAGATTGACAACACCGGCGTTCCTATCCAAGCTAAGCCTAACCAAGTACCGAAGACCCATCCATTGTTTCCTCCGACCAAGCGGCAGTTCCGGGGGATCCGCCTCGGAGAAGTGGAGTAGATTCTGAACGTCAAGGCCGGGATACAACTTTCGTTTGCCAATTGCTGGATATTGAATTGAAATTTCATGAGAGTTCGTTAGGGTGAAGTGAAGAGCTGTCTATGCTGGCTGGTGTGTTTATATAATGGGGAATGAATCGAGTCGATTTGAGCTGAAAAGAAAGAGAAGAATGGAAGCATGAAGAGATATCTCATCTCCCCATTGTTGAAGCTTGGTAATAGTTTTTATGGTGTATGTTGTTGAGCTGGTGCGGTCGATTTGTGGTGTTGAGGTGATGAAGAGGAAAAAAGAATTGTGTAAATGACTTGAGAAAAAGAAGATCAGACTCCTTATGACCACTTCGCGATACTCAGGGTTTCCAGTGTCCCAAATTGATCAAATATTGTCGCCCACAAAGTTGATACCGGTTTTGAGTTGGCATCTACCTCCCAAAAGTGCCATCTTGTATGAGACTCAGTACCAATAATACTGCACACAAGTAAGATAGAGATCGATCTTCTCGGCAGCCTCAGCCTCTGGGTCTCCGCGCCTTCCATATGCCATAAGGAAGAGAACAAAAGCTGCAATCAGCAGCATCGCACTCAAGAACTCCAAAAATGGCCTTGGGCTCGGAGATGGCCAGAATATACAGCATGAATATTGCCCCTGATCAATCGCGACAAGCATGTTTCCGAATAATTGAAGTATAATCAAACCCAGGAGCGTCTGTCTATAGATCCTGTGACATAGATAGTACTCGAGGCGGCGGATGCGGCTGAGATGGCTGGGAGCAGCTGGTGGAGGGCCGCCGACGCAAATTAGGAGGAAAACGCCGTAGCATACAGCCATAAGGCACCAAAATATCTCTACTACGACCATCATTGTTGTTTTTGAAATGAGGATCTCGGTATAAGCGGTAGTGAGCTGATATTGTAGGCGTAGCTTGACGATTTGGGGTTTTGATGTTGGGATTTGCGGTGTGAAGGAGAAAGGGAAAAAGGGAAAAGAGTGAAGTTGAAAAGGAAAAAGGCGAAGTCCAAAAGGGAAAAAATTGGTTATTTATACCACTGACGTTTCATCATGCAGTTAACAAAACTAAAAGAAAAAGCTAAATCACCAATAAAGTTAACTTCGGAACTGGGAGTAGCGGAGCTACCGCCAGAGTTTTCTTCTTTGCTCCTGAACAATGTTGATTGCTCTATCGTGAAAATGCCATGTATGGTTGTGAATGCTGTTAATTGCTGGCATATGTGTATATACAAGATTTCAGGTGCGCCCTAGGACAGATAATCGAGTGATTTATCCCGCTTCTCTGTTTTCATGTAAGCGGAAAGTGTTCTTAGGTTCTGATACTCAGAAGGGGGTCAGACGCCCGGCAACCCATTCTATTCCATAGGGATATAAATCTACCATATCAGGAGGAATATGTTCTTCTTAGATTGGGATTGCGTTGATGAAGCTCCATGTGACACATCTACCCAATGTAGTGACTACAAGTCAAAGGCCCATATTGACATGTGTTGTTGCTGACTGGGCAAGACCGTGGTTCTTACAGATAGCGGGAATATCTACCCGTAGCTAGTCAACCTTTAGAAAGGGGCACTCGATTCTTAAGAATAAATGCTAGAAAAACTATCAGGGCACAGAGGGCAGCAAGTAGCTACCAGAGGACAGAAAGTGGCCCAGTCTGCATGGTAGATCAGCCCGCCGACGAGCCTGCTTCTTCAGTTCAGTCCAGCATGATCATCACCCTCATTAGTTTAGGTCCGCAGGGTCTGTGAGCATTTTGGCTCTTTGCTTTTACTGCGAGTTTCGCCTGTCTGAATTTAGAATTTTAACTTACTTGTCCTTAGGGATAAAGAAAAAGCTTGAGATCTTCGTTTGGAAGCAAAAGAATAACTAATTAAAAGCTTTCTAAGTTTATCATCCAATTAGCTGAATTTGATCTAAACTTACCTGAGTTTATCCTAAAGTTCCTTAAATATTTTCATCACTTATGATCAATCTCTTAAATTTTCTTGTCTCCTGAAGCTCGCTATTTACTCGGACAAACTTCCAGCACGATCCTTTGACTTGCAAGACCCATCGCTATGTGTATCATCTCGCCATAAAATAAGCATATTTCCCTGATCATTTGACGTGAAGTTTGAGTTTTCGACACTCTGGTTTAAAGTCTAGGCAGCAACTGTGCTTACAGTCCAGATGCAATTGGCCAGAGCAAACATCCTATTTGCAGTTCAAAGGGATCCATGGCAAGTTATCACATCTTCTTTTCCGGCCATGGGGTATGTTCGCCATCTGTCTCTTTTCTCTTGAGCGAATCTGGAGCAAGGCTGCTTGGTTTATACACAACTCTGACCAATCCTGGCTCACAGTAAGGGACCACGACTGCATTTTTGGGGGCTATTTGAAGGGAAAGGTCGCTCCGAGGGATTCAGCCAGACTGATTATTTTCCTTTCGAAACGAAGCTGCCAAAATCTTGGCCAAACTCATGTGATAAGAAGAGCATGGAATCGTGGCTGCTTCTGTTCATTAACCGTATTTCTGAACCAAATCTCTCATAACATCAAGGACCCTATGAACCCATTAGCGGTCAAACACAACTCAGTTTCAGTATAAACTCACTGTGTTCTAAGTGTCTCATTATCAACAAAAAGGGCTGATACATGGGTGTCAAATCTCCTGGCCTGATATTAGTTGTGTTGACCAGGATGAAAATCGGTTTCTGGTCTCACAGTCTATAGAGATCTAGCCGACCTTCAAAATCCTCTTCAGGTGCTGAGATCTGGGCAAATGTGTTGTAGGCAGCTACGTACTCGTCTCCAAACCTATTACAAGCTGGTCGCCATTGGCCAAACTCATCTATGAGTTCGAGCTGGTTAGCAGGAGTAATGTCTTTTTTGAGGATAGTTAGCCCGGGGAACGTACATTCGTTATGCGCAAAGAAGCAGCATGCATCGAAAACGAGAGGTTGGTCATTCTCGACATCAATCCCTGCATTTGCATACCAAAGGTCACCATGAACCAACGAAGGTTCCACTGTCCGGCCGTCACTCTCGAGAGGCCTTAGGAGCCTCGGGATGACCCTTTCGAAAAGCCCTTGTGAAAGAACCTCAAGCTCGTCGCTAGTTCCTTTCACCGCGATCTCCAGGTCCAGAGCCTGTCTCATTGACTTGGCGAAGAATGTCTCCCAGCTATCTTCCCATGCCACATACTGGGGTAGGTTTCCTGCGTAAGTTGTGATGTGGAAGCCGAACTTTCCAGTAGGCGATACGCTTTTCTGGTGCATTGTTGATAAACGAGAGGCAAACTCGTCAGGATCGGGCATATCCTCCGTCATTTCTCGAAACTCGCAGAGGAAGAAGTGTGTATCTGGTATGGTCTCATAGGTGCCGCAAGCGATGGGTTTTGGGACAAATTCTGGTATAACTTCATATATCGCGCTCATCGAATGGAACTCCCCCCTTGTCATGTTCATGCCTATTTCTTTCGAAAGGACCTTTATGAAAAAGGACTGAGGCGTACCATCTTCGAGCAAAACATCGATTCGACCCGTCTTCGCCCAGAAGCTTACCCCATGGGTCTCAATGGATGTGACTTTGCATCCCCCTGGTAGGTCTTGTAAAGCAGTCAATATGGAGACGATCCGACTTCGTCAAGGGCTTCTAACTTACCCCTCAATACAGCTGGGTCAATGTCGGTGTTACTCGAACCGAAATCAAAGCCGTTTGCATCGTTGTGATTCATTTCAGATTTATTCGAACTGGCCATCGCCTAGATCGCTAAACATAACCAGGTTCTTGGAGAGAGGGTAGGTTTATTATACCTATACAGTGTTCCTGGTTCGCATGGTTGCACCCACTGACAAGGTCGACTGGTCCAATCGGTAAGCGCCTATCACGAAACTAAGTATAGACGGCGGCTAACGGCATCCATTATCGGTCACTATTGCGAACTTTATCTTATCTGGCAATGTACAAAAATAAGAACTCCTGGTTATTACCAGTCATTTGAAGGGTTATCTACTAAGTACGAAGCAGGAGTTCTGTGAGAGGATGTAATGAGACCGCAGCTCTTTATACCATGCATTTATGTGTTTAGAACGCTCGCCTATAATGAGTGAAGAGTTGATCAAAATCTAGCGGCTTTTACGGGCCGTTCCGGTGCACCAGCAGCCTCATTCTTTATCTTAGCGAAACCAATTTAAGTCTTTCAGTGTCCTGCCATTGAGATCTCGGTGATCCTGTCATGCCAATGTTCGACGGGATACACGACCTTGACACCGTTTGCCTCGAGTCTTTCCTGTCCGTCATTGTTTGCAATAAACGTTCCTGGTTCCCTGATCCCCACATACACAGTCTTGATAGCGCCCTTGAGTCTCAATATCCTGGTCGCGCAAGTCATGTTCCCGCTTAGTCTCTCGTTGCATGGCTCCATGGTTGTGTACAGCACGGTATCTGGTGGAAGAACTTCATGTATGCGTTCCTCGGGAAGGTTGTGCTCGTCGGCGATCTTGATAAAACAACACTGCTCTGCGTGCGTGGTGCCCGGATCTCCTTTGTAGTCTCTCGGATATTCAAGCGAGTAGCCTGTCGATAGGACCTTGCCTTTGGCCGCGTCGACGAGTACGGCCCCGACGCAGAATTTGTTGCCAGCTGGCGGCGACTTTTTGGCTTGAGTGAGGGCAAACTCCATGAAAGCCTCATGGTCGCCAACCTCGAACGTCGGATTGGTCTCAGAAGCCATGGCAAGTGAAAAGTAGGCAACAAACTAAATAATCTTTTCAATGAACTAATGAGGTACAATTCAATGTGTTCACTCTTTACACATCTAATGCGTGATTTTTGAAGATAAACATGGGTTTGTGTCTTGATCTTTGGGCTGTTGGTTCTGTGACAGGTAACATCAGGCGGCTATGGACATCAGCTGATTGGTGGTTGGTCGTTCGCGGGGAAGCCTGACGACTTGACTTGAGCGCGAGATGCTGGGCATTTTTATGATTGACATTGGATAGAAGTCTGTTAGAAATTATCATTTTAGAGTATCGTACTGATGGACAGAGCGGCGACACTTTGGATCAGTCCGAATAACGAAAGTTAACGCCCCACGCACTGAGGTACATCAAGTTCCATGGGCTACAATGGTTAACTCTCACTCCTAAACAGCTAAAGAAGCTGCAATCCAATCCGGTCCGATTGCTAACTATGGCAGTTAGTTCTTTCGAAAGCAGCGGCGCTCAAAGCCTGACCTGCATCCCAGCAACTCCACAAGCAGTCGCGACTCGACCAAGGGCCTGAGGAGCCTGTTTCCTCTGTCAAAACCGCAGTCCAAGACGTCAACAACATTGGACGAGCAATCAAAGGTCGAAAAAGGACCCCTCGGGCTAAGTCTTCTGTATTGCCCAACAGAGCCCGAGATCGACCTCATCTTTGTTCATGGCTTGGGCGGCAATTCAAGAAAGACATGGAGCAAGTCGTCCGCAGACCGGTCTCACTTCTGGCCTGAGGACTGGCTCTCCCAGGATCCAGCATTCAGAAATGTCCGTATTCATAGCTACGGATACGACTCGTACTATTTGAAGGGAAAGGAGGACTGCTTGAATGTTCATCACATTGGCAAGTCATTCCTGGGTGCGATTAGCATCGCGCCGTGCATTGCTAATTCCAAGACTTACATCGTCGTTATCGGTCACAGTATGGGTGGCCTGGTAATGAAGAAGGCATACATCTTGGCGAAACAAGATGCAGAACACAAAGCGCTGGCTGGACGCTTCGCCGCGTTCTATTTCCTCGCTACGCCACATCGTGGTGCCAACTCAGCAAAGATGCTCAAGAACCTGCTCAAGATCGCGTACGATCGTACTTATGTTGGCGATCTGGAGCCGAACTCTGAAGCAGTCCAAGTGATCAATGACGAATTTCGTCACTTCTCAGCTGACCTGGAGCTCTGGTCGTTTTATGAAACACAGAATATGAAATATTTCAGCTCACTTATTGTCGATCCTGAGTCAGCCGTCCTTGGATACCGTGGAGAGAAGCAAATACCAATGACTGCTGACCATCGTTCAATATGCAAGTTTGACACACCTCAAGATTCCAATTATATACTCCTACGAGACTCACTTGCCTCAACAGTGAGCAAAATTACTACGGCAATTCCGGAGAAGAGGCATGAGAAGATCAAGGCACTCAAGGATTACCTCCAAGTTTCCGATATGTTGGACGATGATCTAGCAAACGTTTGCGAAGCTCGGATGCGCGGATCGTGCGAGTGGATTTCGCACAAAGACAACTACATCAAATGGAGGGACGGCGAAGAAGGAAATGGCAGTACGTTATGGATCAAAGGCAGGCCTGCAACTGGGAAATCCGTCCTGGCCGGTTACGTTGTCGATCAGCTCAGGGAGTCCGGTCAGGCTTGCAGCTACTTCTTCTTCAAACATGGAGACAGGTCCAAGGCCAACCTGGGTCGTTGCCTCCGACGTCTGGCCTTCCAGATGGCGACCTTGAACGCTGAAGCCAGTGATGCCATCCTAAAGATGCAGGCGGACGGTATTTCTTTCGATGGCGTCGACGAACGTACACTCTGGAGGATCTTGTTTCTTTCTGGTATCTTTAGGGCTACAATGACTCGGCAATACTGGATCATCGATGCCTTGGATGAGTGCTCAAACCCCCTGGTCCTTTTGAAGGCCATTCTTCCCAACATGGACGAGTCCATACCACTGCGGATTCTAGTTACAAGTCGAGATACGGTCGAGTTAGATCAAGGTTTCATGGCCATCCCACCAAACATGGTCCAGGTTCTTCCAGTATCGATAATGGATACACAATCAGATCTCAGACTTTTGATTGAAAGTCGGAGCCAAGCCTTAGCAATCGCGAGACCTGAGGATCGAGGCGCATTGGCCGAGAAGATTTTAGATAAATCTAGAGGGTCTTTCTTGTGGACTATTTTGGTCATCGAGGAACTTCAACGCTGCCACAGTAGAAAGGAAATCCACCAGATCCTTGAAGATGTTCCCAGTGGCATGAAGTCACTATACAAGCGGACTCTCGACTACATGTCACAAGTCACTCGAGGAAAGGAGCTGGCCAAAACCATCCTGATGTGGGCAGCATGTGCGGTGCGACCAATGACGATTGGTGAACTTGATGGCGCTCTGACCTTGGATATCCACGATTCGTTCCCAAACTTGGAGGAGAGTATCGCAACGCTCTGCGGTCAGTTGGTGATCGTAGACAAGCAGGGGAGAGTCAATATGGTGCATGAAACTGCCAGAGAATTCCTAATAGCTGGTGGATTAGAGTCTGAGTTCTCCATCGACGTAACTCAAGCTCACACTCGAATGGCGGAGGTGTGTCTGAGTTACCTCGTGGGAGATGAAATGAAGCCTCCAAGGAACAGGCGCCGCCGTTCTTCAGCAAATTTACCAACAAGACAAGATTTCGCCATCTATGCATACACAGCATACCCATACCACCTTTCAAAGGCTGATCCATTGGCGGCAGGGACATTCCAGCTTATCACACAGTTCCTGAAATCCAATGTACTCACTTGGATCGAAACGATTGCCCACTCCCAGAATCTCACTCAACTCATCCGTGCCTCCAAACATCTCAAAGCCTACATGAATCGATGTATCGTTGAGCGCTCACCACTAGATCCTCAGATGCGGGCACTACGACAATGGAGCATGGATTTGGCTCGGATTCCTGCCATGTTTGCTAATGCCCTCACGGTATCACCATCAGCAATATACTCATTGATACCTCCATTCTGTCCCACTGAGTCAATGATACATAAAGCCGGGGGCTCAAATCAGAGGCTCGCAGTCCTTGGTGCGTGTAATGAGCAATGGGATGATAGAATGTTGTGCATCGATTTTCGTAAGGGTCAACCAAGGGCCTTGCGCTATGGAGACGGGTTCCTGGCCATCGCACTTAGCTCAGGGACTGTCGTACTGTATTATGTTGCATCCTATCAGGAGTACAAGGCCCTGGAGCATGACGAAGCTGTTAACTTCATTGCCTTCAAGACTCAATCCGACTTCATGGCAACCTGTGGTATCAAGACGACCAAGATCTGGGACCTCAGAACCGGGCAAGTGGTCCACACCCTCGTTAGCCCCCCACGTCCGCTGGGGATGGAATTTGATGGAGATACGCTCTTTATTGCAAGTCGCAACAACTGCATATATAGTTGGAATCTGGGTCTTGACGTCCAGCCCGAGTCGGTGCGGAGGCCATGGGGCGATGCCAATACACCAGAGACGAACCGAATACCTCTACAGGGGGTTCCATGCGCACTAACTCTCTCAACCAGTCATGGCATGCTTGCTGTCGCTTACAACGGTCAGCCCATCATACTATGGGATATGGAAGAGGACACTTATGCCGGTAGCTGCGGAAAGAAGCTCTCAAGTGGAGAGACATCCACGCATGTCGTCGTAGCGCTTGCTTTTAACCCCAATCCTGACATAGGCCTTCTTGCAGTCGCATATCTCGACGGTGATCTCGCCCTCCTTGACCCTTGCACCGACCGGCAGCTGGAGTGCTTTCGTGCCAATTGCCAAACCCTCTCCCCAAGCTCCAATGGGCGTTTTCTTGCAGCAGGCTGTGCAAATGGAATCATCCATGTTTACGAATTTGATACGTTCAAACTCCTCTATCGGGCCAAGTCAACCAACTCCTATATCAAGCAACTCGCTTTCTCCAAGGACAGTATGCTGCTTGCCGATATACGAGGGAGTCAGTGCACTGCCTGGAAACCTGAAGCACTGCTGCGGGAGTCCCTGAGTGATGACAGCAGTGGGCTTACTTCTGCGACATTGATTGAGACGGTTTCCATGGAGGCGAAAGCCAAGGTCACTTCTATCGCGGTCCATCACACGTCCGCAGTAATCTTTTGTGGGAAGGATGATGGGTCAGTCGTGCTGTATGAGCGAAAAACAGCAGCAAGCTTGGGGATTCTTTACAAGCACAAATCCCCAGTTCGTCTGTTGACTTGGATTGAAGAGAGAGATTCTCTCCTTAGCGTCGACGTTTCCAACCGGATCTTTTTGTACAGAATCCAGAGGTCAGCGGACAAAGGCTGGCTCACTGATCCAGCAGTACACTTCAAGACCCGCCTCGACTCTGGGAAGGCAATCACAGACGTCTCAATAGGAGAAGCCGCGGCTAAATTCCTGGTGTCAACTCGCGAGTCTGATCATTTGTTCGACTTGAATAACGGCAAAAATGAGATGGAGCGTACATATCCGCAAATACCAGGCACCCGGAAATGGTTCCCTCATCCGCAATCCTCCCAACATCTGATCTGCGTAGACAATGTCAGAGTATGCGCCTACAACTGGCGCGACATGACTGAAGTCTCTTCAATGACATTTTCATTAGACGACCAGACGGTAGAACTTACAAATGCGACCTTGTATTCACTTGGTCAAGAACACAGAATCATGCTCCATTTGGCGCATCCAAGAAGTTCCACAAAAATCAGCAGAATTGCTATCATCGACTTAGACCGTCTTTCCGTCAAAGGCAGCGACACTAGCTTCTTACAAAGGAAGCAACCATATGCTCTGGCGACGCTTGATCAATCTACCACTGATGACGACAAGGGAGATATTGTCAAGCCGTCGAACCCGGCCGCTGTACCTTGTTCACGTGTGACTCAATTCGAAGTCAACATTGCTCATGTCATAGGAGTTGATGACTCAAGCAAACTCATATTCCTGAACCAGTCTTGTTGGGTATGCTCCGTTGATCTCAGCGCCAGCGGGTTGGCGATTACGCAGCGTGGAGATGACCCTTCGATAGAAGTCTTTGAGCACTTTTTCATTCCGTACGACTGGTTTGCTGGAAAGAAAGACATTATTTGTACCTTGGCAAAGGGAGATGTTGCACTAACTCGAGGTGGCGACCTGGCAGTAATTAGGGGTGGTATTGAGTATAACGAGGCCGCATTTCGTACGGTGGTCTGGACTGCTACGTAATCTATTCAGGCTCAGATCTCGATTTTTCGTCTGATAAGATATCTGCAAAGCTGCTGGTTTGAATTCTGGTCTCTCTGCATGGCACCTGATGAGACCATTATCCAAGCGATTTGGGGCTTTTGCTCAGTTAACGGGGTGAAGCTCCATCAGTCTACGAGTGTGTCTGCGTTGTATTTTCTGCCACTTCAGGTCCATGGCTACAGCTCTCGCAGTGCGTCTCATAGTGCATCGTGGCGCTTTCTTCTCTATACCAGAGTATGGTCATTGGCCACGGAACCATAGGTAACCTCGAACGAGGAGAGACGCTTTATTGAGCCCCAATCATAGCTCTATAGCTTAGGGTGCAGTCTACTTCATGAGGATAGCCAGCCACTCAGGACGTGACACGGTGATTTATACTTTCTCTCCTTTTGAGTTATGTTTGTGAATGAAGACACGCAATGTTTGTGTACCGAGGGGTGCAAGATAAGCTTTCGAAACTCTGATCTTGCGAGGTTAAGCTTTTGGGATATGATTTACAAGTCAATGTCCTCGCATCTGTGTTAAATTTCATCAGACAATACTTCGGATGCCCTTCGATACTTCTGGCTTCATACTTCACTTCCCCGTTGCTAGGCTCTCCTTCGCAATAGACACATCTACCTGCCATCACTCCTCACCGAAAATACACCACCCACCTTTGAAGCTTCTTTGATCTGAGGATGGACTATTCAAGAGTGCTTTCTTTCATCCTATTTCTAGAGGGAGCTCCAAAGTTTCGTCATACCCTCGGCTACAAGTCTCCTCTGCCTGCTCCATCTCACCTTACCTACATGGCTCGCTACTGGTACTATCTGTCCCACAGGAAATGCTTAATCCAGTTTCTGGGGATTCTTTCCGTCGGATCTGTCGCCTTCGTAGCCTTTAGAATGGGTAGGAAAGCCTGGGGGACAAGTTGTGAGAAATGATTGCTACTCCTGTTGCCTCCAACTTATCTGGTCAGCGGCTTGATAACAGCATATGAGGCATCCGATACGTAAAGGAGAAGATTGGATGACAAGTGAGAATTATGCGATCCAGGTCAAACCCATCCTCGTGTGCTCTGATGGCTGGGAACAATGCTAATGTGAAAACTAGCTTTCAGTCGATTCTATGAGAAGTCAGACTTGAGCCAAACAAAGGGGGAAGTGGGACGAGAGAATTATTCTCCGAGCTTTGGACACAAGAAGGACGAGCGGGGGTAGTCAGGTTGTAGTCTCTGAGCTGCAGACAATATGACAAATTTGCCGTGATGTCGGTCGCCAGGTTAATGAAGTTCTCCCGAACAACGATGGATCTCGCTGTCGAATACCACCGCCTTCAATCTCTGGTGTTGCAGCTTGTTTCCTACCTCACGCCGACTCATTTTGTCAACATCTTACTGGGGCCCTCAATTTTCCTTGATACTTGAATACTCTTACTAAACCATCAACGCGATCGCTGCCCATGATTACCTAGCAACGGAGGATTCAGGGCTACGGTGGCCTTCACTGCGGATTCGCATCAAGCGCATAGTCTAACTAAGACGCGGAGGATTCCATGGTCATAAGACGGGCAATGCCAGTGGATGAGGACTTAGGTCAGATTCTGTCTAAATTTATCTGCATTATAGTGCAGGGCTGAATAAGCTTGACTAGATCATCCAACCTCTTCTCTTGGATGTAAGACTAGAACGTGTTGGCTTCTAAGGATATCTCCGTCTAATATATACTTTCATCACAATTCCAGCCGCCAAGAGGCTTCAAATGTGAAAATAAAAGGTATTTTCTTCTGTGGAGTTGGAGCATCTTTTTGTTGATTCGTTGGCCTTTCATCTGCTATCGTGCCTTGTTATTATTGTCTTGTTCCATGCTTGCCTCAAGATGAACTTGAACTCTGTCTTTCCAAGCACTCCCAGCACTATATGCGTATGCGCGATCAGCTGTACGACAAGCAGACAAGGCCCAGAGGATAGCTTCGTCGTAAACAACAGCTTTTGCAATTTGCATTCGCGTCATCTTGTCTAATGATCGGCTTGTATTGACAAATGGCGACCAGCTCCTCTTCTGCAATGCCAGGATTCCATTAACCGTGAGACGAATGGCTAGCGTTTGCAGATAGAGGATGAAGCATTGCTTGTGGAATAAGTGGTATAAGATACGGGCGGTCAGTCCCATGTCAGAGGGTATAGCTGGAACTGGGTTATCCAGCATCATCAGCTCAGAGAGCATGGGGGACGGACACCGGGCAAGCATCAATAATACATGCATCTTTGGATCCATGATTGCATATTTGAGAAAGGGTTGGGCGTAGATGCCCATCACCTGAAGCAACACAGAGATTACAGCGACGACAATCGTTAACTGTACACCCATCTTGAGTATCGTGGTTGGAGGATAGCAAACGGTTCGAGTGTCGCGTTGGAATCCTAGCTTGAGAAAAGAAAAGGGTCGAAGTGTATCGGTTAAATTATGAGGCCTATCAACCCTTTTATATGTTTCTTGAGGCCACTTCTGTAAAGTGAAAACATCTCAAGGTTGTGAATAAAAAGTTAAATAGCAATTCACTCCCAAGACAGAGTCATACCAGAGGCGTGATGCGTGCAAACCGTGATAAAAAGCTTCTTAACTGACATCAAAGACATTAACTTGACTATTGGATGATCATATTATTTATATCGATAGAGTAGATTAAAACTTAATGCAAGGCTGCCTACCTATACAATGAGAGGTGATGCCTTCAATTCCGCGACTTCTCTCCATTCCCGTAGTAAAGCTTAATCTTGAGATGTGAGTGGCAACGAGCCTTACGATGATGATGGAGGGCGAGCCCTAACTTGAGTCTCTTATGTGCTGGCTATGTTCTGGCCAAATTCGTGGTTTTGATCTAAGAAAAGCTTCTGATCATGTTATGTATACGGAGTAACAGCAAGATCAAGCCGACTGACACCTAAGATAATTCCTTTGCTCCCCACGAAAGTTTGTGACCTGAAGAAATCTGCTTCCCAAGCAAGCATGCGAAAGAACATAGAATAGTCTCGTCAGTGTTAATACAGACTATTCTCCTCAACTTTTACTGTGTCTTGGGAACGTTGGTACCGTAGCTAACGTACCTCCGATGAGGCTTCGTGTAAATGCACACGTCACGTGGCCACATCACGAAGAAAGCTAGAAAAGAGAAAATGTTTTCTTTTTGCTGGTTGTTTCAGAATTGCGAACAAGCTTTGGTAGCTCGACGGGCCACTCGGCACATAAAACGTGCGATAATTTTTTTGGGGACTTTGGTTTCCCGATTCGACACGGTTTGTTTTCCCAATTGCGATCGGTTGCGCGTCGATATGTCATTGAGCATGAACTATTTTACTAACTTGTAAGTGGCGAGTAGGGCGGGTAAAAGGGCCTTGGTACTGGGCATCATTGAGGCATCGATCAAGATCCATCTGGTTTTTGTTTTGTTATGGGGAAAATGGAGTGAGAATGAGTGAGATGGTAAGGCGGTTGAGGCGCAAGTGTCAGAGAGTACAATATTAATTATTTATTTATTATCATTCATGCCGTCCAATCCATGTCAGGAACAATGCATGACATGTCTCTCAAAGGCCGCGTTGAAAGACAGAGAGAGCAAAAAAGATCGACGTCGTAAAAAGAAAGCGTTGTATCGGCAGATCGATCGCCAAACTTTGACATCAACCGTTTGGCCAGCAAAGTGCCAGAGAGCATCCCATCACTTTCCTGTTTTGGAAGAGCAAGTCTGTTGGAATGTTCGTATTCTCATCATCTTCGAGACGCCAAAAAATTCACTTCCCAGGGATCCATCCAATGCAGGGGCAAAGGCCGAGAGGGCGTGGCGTACCCAGAAGCTTGTAGGAGGGAGACGATTGGCTGACAGGGGTTTCCCGGCCCGTGCTACGGTTGAAGAGGGTCCCCACTGCAGCGGGTCGAGAGGCGTCAAAAATAGAACTGAGAGTCTGAAGCTGGGTCTTGGTGAGGTCTTATCCCCACGGAGGCCGCGTGCCAGGGTAAACAGCCTATGTACCTACTCCGTACGGAGATGGTATGAGGTGTCTTTTAAGACTTCAGAAGTAGGTAATCAGTGATATTCCAGTACTTCTGGACTGGTAGTGGTGTCGCTGGCATGTTAAAGTGGTCATTAACTGACACTGTTGATCACAGGTCTCGATCATTCTATCGTGACTAGCGCTTGACTGAGCATCTCTAAAACAGGGGACTTTTTATTGGCTTCCGCTGGGTGAGATTCACTCGCTCGCTCACTCACCTCACGCTGCCACATTGATGCATAATGGATGCCAAGCTTTTTCTATCAATGGATTCCCCCAAAAGAAAAAAATTGTCTAGAGTCTCCCCCATGATAATAGGATCCATCCCATGTCAATGTCATGGCTCCTTAGTTCTTAGTCTTGCCTTAGTCCGAATAGAACCTCCACCCCCAGCCCTACTTTTACCCTTCTTTACCTTTACCTCCTTCTTTACCTTACTCTACCTTAACCTCACATCTCTCCGTATCATCGGACCTTGTTCAATTCCTTTGTTTCTTTCTTTTATCTTATCCCCATCATCGTCGCCTGCCCCTGAGTGACGCCATATTCCGATCGCTTCGCCCCTTTTGGCACCTCGTCCTTTCGCTCACGGGCCTTCCCGACTTGGCTTCTTTTACGACATAGCGACTCTCGTTTACCAAGGGCTCTTTGTTTACGACGATTGATCTGTCAAGTGGCGCCTGACCTCGAGTATCAAATCTCTCCAGTCGCCCCTATAGTCTCTTCCTCAGCAGCTCTCGTCTTGTCTGCGATCCATCCTTTGAACCCCTGCGAATACGAGACTATCCCCAGTCCGAACCAGTCAATCTCGACTCTATACACGTGGCCGACAACAATAAAATCGGAGAGCTCGGAGAAACGTCGTCGCGCCATAGACTTCGGTGCCGCTGGACATTTGAGATAAGCTCCAACGTCTTCGCCCGTTGGCGGAGCTCTTGCGCCCGATATGGATTATACAGCCCACCTCTATGGTCGGCAGCAAGAAGAGGATACTGGCAAGCAATTGCTCGATCTTCTTCAAGAGCCCTTCAGTGAACAGGTATATCCCGACGCTTGATATCGCAAACTCCTGTCCCTGCTAACGCCGTCCACCAGCTCCAAGCTGCATCGCTGTATTCAGCTTTAGCCACCTCGATTCCCATCACAGTCGGTATCGCCATCATCTTTTCGATCCTACGACCATACCATCAGGCCATTTATGCCCCCAAGTTGAAGCATGCCGATGAGAAGCACGTACCGCCCCCTATAGGAAAGGCCCCATGGTCGTGGATCACAACATTATGGCGGACCAAGGAGGAGCAGCTTGTACCATTGATTGGTATGGATGCTACTGTCTTCCTGCGCTTCGTTCGCATGTGCCGTAATATGTTCCTTACCCTGTGTATCACTGGTGTTGGTATCCTCCTCCCAATCAACGTCACAAAATGGCAAGAATACAAGGGAGCAAAAAACACCAACTGGGTTCTCAATATCACTCCTCTCAGTGTATGGGCTCCGGCAATTTGGTCCCAGGTCGTTATTGCCTGGTGCTTCAACTTCATCGTGATGGGCTTCCTCTGGTTCAACTATAACAAGGTTCTCCAGCTCCGGCGCAAGTATTTCGAGAGCGAGGAGTACCAGAAGAGTCTTCACTCTCGAACTCTGATGGTAAGATAAGAAGAAGCTACGGCCAGAAAAGCGTTACTCACACAAACTTACAGGTATTTGACATCCCCAAGAAGGGCTGCTCCGACGAGGGTATCGCAAGAATCATCGATCAGATTGCCCCCAACTCATCCTTTGCTCGAACTGCCGTTGCTCGAAATGTTAAGGAACTTCCGGAGCTCATTGCACAGCACGACCACGCCGTTCGCAAGCTTGAGCAAGTCTTGGCTAAGTACCTCAAGGACCCTAAGAACGTTCCAGCTGCTCGACCCATGTGCAAGCCCTCCAAAAAGGACCGATCATACGGAACTTATCCCCGAGGCCAAAAGGTGGATGCTATAGAATACTACACCCAGCGAATTCGTGACCTCGAGATTCAAATCAAAGAAGTACGCGCCACGGTCGACAAGCGAGGCTCGATGCCTTATGGTTTTGCCAGTTACGCGGATATAGCAGAGGCCCACGGCATCGCCTACGCTTGTCGCAAGAAGAAGCCTGTCGGTGCTACAGTCAGACTCGCACCTCGTCCCAATGATATCATCTGGGAGAACATGCCTCTGTACAGCAGCACCCGAGGACGAAGACGCTGGGTCAACAACTTCTGGATTACTCTCCTGACCCTTGTATGGATTGTCCCTAACCTTGGTATTGCCATCTTCCTCGTCAACTTGCAGAATCTGGGCAAAGTGTGGCCCGCTTTCAGAACCGAGCTCGCCGCTCATCCCAAGGTCTGGGGTGCTATTCAGGGTGTCCTCTCTCCGGCGATTATGTCTCTGACATACCTTGTTCTTCCAATGATCTTCCGTCGACTCTCTGTCAAGGCCGGTGATCAGACCAAGACTGGACGCGAGAGACACGTCTTGGCCAAGTTATACTTCTTCTTCGTCTTCAACAACCTTTTCATCTTCTCCATCTTCAGTGTCATCTGGACTTTCGTGTCCAACGTTGTCAAGGATACGACTGGAGAGGTAAAGGAGGATGTTTGGGAGTCTATCAAGAAGAACAACATTGCGTCCGCCATGTTCGAGGCTCTTTGTAACACTAGCCCGTTCTGGGTGACTTATCTGCTCCAGCGTCAACTTGGTGCGGCTATTGACCTTGCCCAACTTTGGCCGCTTGTGCAAGCCTTCTTCCTCAAGAAGTTCTCAAGCCCAACACCCCGAGAGCTTATTGAGCTCACTGCCCCCCCACCTTTCGAATACGCCAGTTACTACAACTACTTCCTTTACTACGCTACAGTCACCATGTGCTTTGCCGGTATCCAGCCTCTGGTCCTGCCGGCAACAGCTCTTTACTTCCTCATCGACTCGTGGCTCAAGAAGTACCTTCTCCTCTACCGCTTTGTCACCAAGACTGAATCCGGCGGAATGTTCTGGCGCGTCATCTTCAATCGTTTCATCTTCGCAACTATGCTTTCTAACCTGGTCGTCATGCTGACTTGCTGGGTTCGTGGCAACCAATCGACACACATCGAATTCTTCAGTCTGGTACCGCTGCCGTTTATCATGATCATTTTCAAGATTTATTGCAACCGCGCCTTTAACAACAAGATCACCTACTATAGTATTGTAGACGTTACCAAGACTCCCGAGAACGGAGTTGATCCCAAGGACAACCGTATGCGAAGTGAGCGGTTGGCAAACCGTTTCGGCCACCCTGCACTTTACCGACCTCTGATTACTCCCATGGTTCATTCGAGCGCGCAGAACCTTCTACCTGCTATCTACAAGGGTCGCCTGAGTGATGGCAGAGATGTCGATTCGGGTGATATGATGACGGTTAGTGGTTACTCGGATATGGTTTCTCTCGATCCTATGCAGAAAGGACGACCAGGCAAGAGTGCCAACAACGTTCCCGGTTTCGAGTTCGTGTCAGACGGCCAGATGGACTTTGAGTATTATAAGAATCGAGCCGAGTTCGCAGAGGACCATGGTGGAGGCGAGATCTACGGTCGACCTGGAGAGATTGGTCGCCCTGGTACACCTGGATCGGTCGATGGCAGCGATTTCTCACGGCCCGGCACACCTGTAGGCCGAACTGGTTCTCCTTTTGCAGGTGGAGCAGCTCAGCAGCAACGTCTCATGTCTCTTGCTAGCAACACGAGCGGCGACACTAGCTATTCATCATACCGACCAGGCGGCGCTCCCAACACCGGATTCACCCAGCAAATGACTCTAGGCACCGAGCCCCCCGCTCGTGGCCGCAGTCCCTTGTACTCTCACAACAACGGAAGCTCATCGGGTCTCGGACTAATCTCGAACGCCGCGGCTCCCGCGTACAGCAATCTCAGCACGCCAGGCCGCATGACGCCTGTGCAATCACCGGGGCCTTCAGTCAGCGCTATGGGCGGCGGTCCTCAAGGCTACAGCGGTCTTGCACAGAACGAAGAGCCTTCATACGATTACTTCCGCGGTAATAACCGCGCGAGAAGAAACCCCGGCGAGGGATGGTAGAGACGTTCCGAAAACGAGACAGTTTCAATGCATAAAATTTGCGAGGCGTTTGGGTAGATTGGGATAGGTCCTTGACGACCTTTTGAATTGAATTCTGGAATGAGGTGGACTGATGTGAGACGATCCGGGCACACCTCCAAGAAGAATAGAATACTTTGGATTATAGCTTTTAATGCACAATAGCCCTTACCATTTCATGACGGGAATATGATTACTTTTCTGAAGAGGCATTCACTTTGTATCGATCATTATGCTAGAGTCTAAAGACTTGGCCTTGTGCTGATCTCAAGGCTTGAGTGACATGGGCATGTCCCAGATCTCGTTTCATCCCTGAAGGGTCTTTTGGGTCGGGGTCTCCTAGAGGTCCGGCAGTTTCGGGATCCGACGCGGCCGTCCCGGAGAACCGTGGACTCCGGAATCACTCACTTGCCGTTCACTATCATGAATCTTCAACTATCGTTGATAGGCTCGAGCCATTGAGATCCTATCCTAAGTCCTAGGGCCACAGAGTCTCGTTTCTCGGAAATTTGATCGAAACGTCCATCGAGTAGTTGTCATTCATGGCTGGTATCTTGACACTTCAGGCTACGACTCGTCAGTCATTATCCCTGTCTCATGCAAGCGCCTGAGATACGTCGCCAAATCGTCTCTCAGCCCCTCAATGATCTTATCTTCCACGATCCCATCATTCCATGTAATACCCATCGTCAAAGGACCGTTCTTGATACTTGCAACACTAATACTCATAGGATCACTTGAAACCATGACGCCATTTGTAAAGAGCATACGATGAATACTCCTCTTATCCGCCTCCTTAGCAGGAGCTGGAAGAGTGCCGACGTTGCTAACTTCCCACGATCGAGGTCGCGGTTGGCCATCCTTCTTCCGTAGAAGTGCTTGCCAATCGGTGATGGTCGAGAGTATCTGCATGTCATCGTCCACAGGGATTGTAGATGTCTTTTTCTTGAGCTCATCCTTAACTTTCCTTGCGTAGCTCCAGATAAGATCGTTGATCTCATTACCCTTTGCAGCTTGAAAGGCAGCCACTGCTGATGAAGAGTGCTCATGTGACATGCCGGTAACAGCACCGAAGAGTGCGTCTTTGGTGGCAGGGTCAGCATTGGGTGATATGTAGGGACGCATGCTTATGGGTGTTGAGGAGATGAAGGCTGGGGCGGTTGGAATACGTCTTGAGAGCGATGCAAGGACAAGGGCATGCAGAAAACCCGTCATAGAAGTCCCGTGAGCGCGCGACTCTTTTAGGGCGGTTACTACGACGGCTGGTGGTATATCCAAGGTAATCAAGCGAGTCTTGTGGCGATCGAAGTCAATAGGTTCACCAGCCCATATCTTTGGCGGAGCAGGAGTAAGAAACCAAGGTCGGTATCGTTTCCAAAGAAGAGTAGCTCGGCCAGACAGTGTCGACGTATAGTCGATGACCTTCTCTTGTGGTTCAGGGAGCACTGGTGGTTCGGGAAAGGACAGGACTTCTGGGGCTGACGGGTTCGCAGGCAGAGCGTTCAGATGGGCGAGCAGTTTCTCATGAAATAGCCTTCCACCCATGCCGTCCATAAGAGAGTGGTGAAAAGCAAAGATAACATTCTCGAAGAAAGGAGCTCCGTTATCCTCTCTGACTCCGGACGGCCTGCCAACCATAACCCGCCACGGAGGCCGCGTCTCAATATCCGGCCAGAACTGGTCATGCAGTTCGCAATGTAAGTCATTCAAACACTTGTCATAATCCTCTCCAGGGCCCCAAGTGCGAAATTCCACGAAATCGCTCAGTCTCATCTCAGGCACGTGTGTAAAGTAGGCTTCGATGTCGCCTTCTCCTTGGATGCCTACCCGGAGCATAGGGTTCTCACTAACGAGATTTGCTATGGCAGCAAGGATGGCCTCATCTGGAGATGTGTTTGGAGGGACATCATAACGCGCTGATATTATAACGCAGCGATATAAGCCCATCAGGTGATATGCAGCAGAGCCAGTCTCTCTGAAAGTTGATCAGCAAGTGTTGATGAGGGTAGCATGGTTGACTTACAGGATACCTAGACGGCGAGCAGTACGGATCTCAGGGCTGTTTGTCATTGTGACCATTAATTTGAACGAAGTTAAGATGGCCAGCTGTAGTGTTTTGCGAAAACTTCGTATGTTATTTCTCCTCAGTTTGACAGCAACCAACAAGTCACACAATCCCAGGTGTCGTCATATCACTGATAGAATAGGAAGGAGGAACGAAACAAGACGATTTGGGATGAACTAGGGTAGCTACTTTATTCCGTCTCATATCAGCATTTGGGTTGCATCCATATTCGATAGAGATATCAGAATAAGTCCATTGTAGAAATATAAACTTGAGGTACCTATTTTGATCACTCTCGATTGTTAGAAAAGGGTTGAGATGTAAACTAATCAAGCTTGTGCCAACTTGCTGTGGTAGGCATCAACAATGAGCTTTTAGAGTCAATTAGCTTAAGCTATTAGTGATAGGGCTGAGTTGACAGCAAAGCAAGCTGCCCAACCATACTTCAAGCAGGTGAACTAAAGGAAATTTAACAAGTCCTAGCAGATATTAAGATTGATAAGCTTCTCACCCGAGCCAGACCATAATCGCCAAGGTCGAGTTATTATTGTGACACTTGCGGTAGCTGTAAATTGGTGATGCGCGGTAACGGTGAGACGTGGTCGGTGGAACGGTGACCCCACCGTTAATGACGGGACGGGACACTATGACAGGCCCCCCCATGCTTGGCCATTTTCTGTAGCCTCCAACGCGTTTAAACCACGACTCGACAAAAACATTTGATCAATCATCTTTTGCGCGCGCTGTTGATGTTTTTATTCGCGACTGTACAAGATACCCGACCTCCAGCTGTACGAACATACACTTGACATACCCAGGCATACAATTACGACTATCAACTCCAAGCGACCATATTACCATATCCAAATACTCTTAGTCGCCATCGCGATGCAATGAACGCGCTGCCCACGACGACAAATAATGTGCTATCGACCTCACCATAACTACATATAATCACACCCAATTGTATCACCGATGGATCGCGACAAGAGCTCGCTGGCCGAGCGGCCCAGTCAGCTTATTGTGAAGCAATCCGGAAGGAAACCTCTTTTCGCAAGCAACATCCCGCGGGGAACCGACAGGAATAAAGAGAATGATCAAGCGCAACAGAACAATTCGAGGCTTGGCTCTAGTATACAAAGCAATGGGTTCGCGCGATCGACAAATTCAGATCTCGACAGGCGAGGAAGCGTCGGTAGTCTTGGATCGCGCGACAGCAAATTACCTACACCGGGGTTTTCCTCCTCCACTCGAAAACGACTCTCCATGTCCGAGGCTTTCCGCATCGCTGCAAAGGAAGTTGAGGATGATAGCGATGGAACACAACCGGTCGATGCGTCGCCTAGTCCAGCACCTCGAGTCTGGCGTGAGCGACACGAAGGAGAAGGAAACCAGATGCGGCAGATGTTAAGTCATGATCACCTGGACACGAAGGCACCAAGTCGACCGTTCTCTCGAGGGTCAATTGCATCGAGGATACCCGAAATAAAGAAATCACCAGACAAGACCGAATCGCCGCGACGACGGAACTTTTATGGCAAGTCCAGGGCAGGGCTTTCCTTTACGCCTAGAGAGCCGACCCAGGAGAGCAATACGCCTGCACCCGCACCTCCAACTACGACTGTCAATGGGATAAGACCTGACAGTCGACCTGGGAGTGCTGCTGGACTACGAATGGGCTCGCACTCGTTGAGACAAATGCCTTCGAAGGACGACCTGACCAAACAAGGACGGATTCCAGCTCTAGTCCCTGGTATTGAGGAATTGTATCCGTCGATTGAGGGCCCAGAAGCTCAAAACGAGCCACCTAATTCACAACCAGCTGGGCCCGCATCCCCCGAGAAGAGTTTTGTATGGCAGGTGGATGACGACTTCACGGCTGGAGAATTACAAGTTTCGGATAGTCCAAGGCTTCGCATGGGTGCGCGTCCGTTTGCAAACCGTATTCACTTTGACGAAGGTAGTGAGATCGACATCAACTCACGGACGAGGGTGGCGCCGCCTGGAGCGAGGAATACTAAGCTTGACGAGATACGGTCGCGAGAGGTTAAGACAGGAAGCGATATTCCTCTTGAACCCCCGCGACCACATAATACAAAAATAGACGAGATACGGGAACGTGAGGAAAAGGTGCAACATCAAATACCCATACCTGATCGAAACGCGCCGAGGCCGCGAAATACCAAATTGGACGACATACGACAGCGGGAGGTTAATGGCATACCCAGGAGGTCAATAGCTTCAATTAGGTTGGAAGAGATTCGTGAGCACAATGCAATGAGTCGCTCACGCTCTCCAGAAGATCGACCCAAGACAAGCCGAGGGATGATCCCAGAGACTAAAACGACAAGTGAAATGGAACCGAAAGAGCCGTCGCCTCGTCCTAGATCTGCTTTCGAAGGGACTGGTGTAAGTATCCCCGACACGCCTGTGACAGTGTTCAAGTCGCGACGCGAGAGCGCAGAATCGGACCACCCTAGGGAGGATGGTGACTCAAAGGACGAGACAAGTCGTACGCGACCAGGTCTGTCGCACACACGTACTGATTCCCGAGACTTACTACGACGCCTGGCGCGGGCTGCCAGTTCCAGTCCTGCGCCAGAACCTGAGCCGCCGCGACAGGTGGCCGACAGTGACACCGCTCCGTTACCCCTGGAACCCAAGCCTGACTCTGCTTCTGCAATTCCTCAACCTTCAACCAGCAATGGCTACCGAAATCGTCAACATCGCTCTAACAGAGATTTCAGTCCCAAACCTACTGTTGCATTTACTGGCCTGTCCCGAAGTCGTTCTACGGAATCTGTTAAGAGTAAGAAATCCATGAATTCGGAGGCAGATCCCACGGACCGCATTGAGGCGGAGGCCAATCTGTTTGCGCCTGGCGATAATCACTCTGAGAAAGGCTCTATGAAGGCTCCGTCTCCAGAGCCTGATACCGACGATGAAAAGGAACTCGATGCGACACCGCGACCGACAAAGCCGGATCCATTGACTATGCCCACGCCCAAGGTCACGGGCGCATACGTGGAAACACCAGCGACAGTCAAGGTGGAGAAGATTGAAGTAAAAGGCAAACAAGAAAAGCCAAAGAGGGAAGAAATGCCATTGCGACAAAGATCTGCATCGTTCCGTGATAAAAGGATGGATCGCGCAATGAGTGGCAGCGATAGGGACACAGCATCAGACCCGGGGACAGACGACAAACTGAGCACCAAGACTTCGTCGAGTGGGGTGAGAAGGCGGCGCACTCGTTCTCTTTCACGGCGCCGAGGAACACTGAAAAACTCGGCAAAGCTTCCAACAGTCAAGGACGACTTAAAAGAACTTCAACGGACACATCACATCGAGGATTCAACGTTGGATGACCTTGAAGAGGTTCTTCTCGGTCGCAAAGCCCCATCTCAAGAAGTTGAGGCTCTCCTTGATAAATTACCTGAGAACCCGTCACTTGATGACGATTTCGACTTCGACTTGGAACTTGATACCAAACTGAACACACGAACCAACCAGATTGATCCTCAGAACAACGACAACTCTGATCTGGATCGACTCACCCGCATGAACAATACCCTCAAGAACAGCCTCTTCGGAATCCATACCGCAGCAAGGGGTATTGAACGTCTTTCTGATCAAGTCAGCACCAAGAATAAGGCAGCCGAGAACAAGGCGGCTGAAGAGAAGTTAGCTGAGCTCAAAACGCCCAAAGAGGAGCCACTTGAGAAGAACCTCCTTGACATTGTCAAACCCGAGCCGCTGCCGGAAAAGATGGCCACCCTTCACGACAACCACGGCGCTAGCACCGCCTTCATCACGCATTCCGACGGCAAGACGGTGTCTTACGTTTCACTACCTATTCCACAACTCTTCCACCGCAAACCATCCTTCCGCTTCACACTACTTGGTCTTCTTCTTTTCCTTTTTGGCCTTTGGTATGCTCTCGAGTCTACTATGTGCCTCGCCTTCTGTCGTCCAACCAGCTGCAGCAATCCTCCTTGTGTCTGGTCCGTCGATGATCCTACCTTTGGAAATGCTATTCCCGTGAAGCTGGACCAGTGGACTACTGGCGGTCGTGGTCGCACTCTAGCTGGACAAATCAAGGAAGAAGTGGATGACTGGTTTGCCGACATGAAGGACGTCTGGTATAATCGTGAAATCACCGACATTGACATTCACGGGCTCTCGTTTGAGCAGAAGCGTCAGCATCGTCGCCGTCTCCGCAAGAAGGGCCTCATGAAGCGTCGCATACAGACACCTGAGGAGCGAGCAAGGCTGGAGGCTTGGAAACGAGCACGCGAGGAGGAGGAACGACAGAAGGAAGCGAGAGAGATGGGCTATGAGATTCGAGTTGACGACGATGAGACTGTCGGAGGAGATACCAGGGTTTGGTGAATTAAGCGTCTACAATGGTCAGAGTGGTGGTTCTATACGGGCACAAAGGGGCAGTTAACGTTGCTATGAAATGCATATCGGAGCGGGCGTTCAAAGATACATTATTGCACTCTTCAAGTAGTAATGATAATAGATGGTGGTGATATTCTCAGATGGTATCAACCTCGTGCCCACATATAAAGAATTCGGGGCATATCCGCAATGCATTTTCCATATCCCAACGCCATGCGCCTGCAAATACCGGCTCTTAATCGTCAATACCACCCCACTCATCATCTTCCTCCATCTCATCACCACTAGCAGCCTGAACCCACGGCAACCTCTCATCCTCGTAGCTCTCAGCAGCGCGAGCCCTCACAGGCTTAACAGGACATCTCTTCAGTGCAATAACAACATCCCCCAAGCTCTTAACAAACTTCTCAGCCTCAGGCTGCCCCAGCGCCTCCTCACGCTCCAACTCATCAACCCAGATATCCAGCGCATGCAGTCTAATACCCACGGGGCTCTTTCGCAGATCACCCTCCTTCTCAAAAGGAAACTCTTCCAACACACCTACGATAGCCTCTACATCACCGTCCTTCCAGCCTCGCTCGCGAGCTAGTCGTACATGGGAAGCGAAAACGCGACGGACGAGAAGGAGAAACTTTTCAAGACGGTAGACGTCGATGCCTGTCCACTGGGCGCCTACGACGACCCAGAAGGCGCGCAGCCAGGGGATGGCGCAGGCGGGCTTGAGGGTGAAGAGGAGGTTGGCGAGATCTGTTGCGAGACGTTGCTGGGGGATGGGTCGGTCGGTCATCCATAGGGCGTAGAAGAGACCTTTCCAGAGTTTCTGGGCATCGACGTCGGAGAGATTTGAACGCGAGGAGAGGAATGTTGAGAGTGATTCTAGGGAGGAGGTTCGAAGTTTGCGGTCTGGGAAAGTTAGTGAGACTCGTGGAGAGAGAATCGGGTAGGACGAACCGCTTGAAGCGAGGTTGCGAATGAAGGGCATTTGGGATTCGTGCTCGGCCATTGTGAAGGCTAGAGCGTCAATGGCTCTGTTTGACTGTTTATGGCGATCGTGATAATTGGGCGATTAGGTTGGGGCTGTGGAAGGAGAAGTGTTGGTGACAATTTGGTTGGTGTAGAAAATGTCAAAGATGCTATGCGATGCTGGGCAACTTTTTTTCTGGGATGTCGGATCTAGTGGGGGCCTCAACGAGAAGTGGGGCCGGCTCTTGTAAGGGACTTTCAGATGTAAAAGTTGAAAATCGAAGGGTCATGATCGTAACTACAATGCAAATGCCGTTGTTCATAGTGGAACTTCGAAGGACCTCGATTTATAAGACATATACAGCTCCAATACTATAAATATTGATTTGCTGGCTCCGGTAACAAATGTTCTTCGAAGCTGGAAGGCCTACTGACTTCAGCCTTTGCCTCGAGTTTTCCAATATGGGAATCCCACACCTCAAGGGAGACCAAATGCCATGTAAGTTATTATACTTCCCAATAATTAAATAGAATAGATTCAGACTAAGATTTAGCATGCTCAATACCAGGCTTATTCAGCTGTATTTTGCATCAACAGACTCTCAGCGAATGACCCCGCGCGGGGCATCCACATCGACTTGGCCGCGCCCAAAATTTTGAGGTCTCCATTTCGTCACTTTTCATTCCTTCCATACCCTTCTAAACACCACGCTCGACCTCACCGTCAGCCCAAGAGCTCATTCTATCAACCTCGCTCTTCAGTAATAAGGGCAAATAATTGAATATGGCATCTGCCTCCACAGACGAAGCCTCCAAGGCGACTTCGCCTCCCGTCGCTATTGTCTGCGTCGGCATGGCAGGCAAGCTACAATCCTAATCGTTGCGCAACCTTATATCTAACCCTATCTTAGGATCTGGAAAGACTACTTTTATGCGGCGCATCAACGCTCACCTCCATCAGAATGATCAACCTCCATATGTCATCAACCTCGATCCCGCTGTGTTGTCCGTACCTTTCGAGTCCAACATCGATATTCGAGACTCAGTTAATTACGAGGAAGTCATGAAGCAGTACAACCTTGGCCCCAACGGTGGAATTCTTACATCTCTCAACCTCTTTGCTACAAAGGTTGATCAGGTCGTCAACCTCCTGGAGAAGCGCGCCCAGCCCGATCCCGAGAAGCCCGATCGCAAACCCATCGATAGAATTCTAGTCGACACACCCGGTCAGATCGAAGTTTTTGTCTGGTCCGCATCTGGAACCATTCTTCTCGAGTCGCTTGCTTCTTCTTTCCCTACAGTCATCGCCTACGTTATTGATACCCCTCGAACTGCTTCCACTTCGACATTCATGTCCAACATGCTTTACGCCTGCTCTATTCTCTACAAGACCAAGCTTCCTATGATTCTCGTCTTCAACAAGACCGATGTCAAGGATGCGGAGTTTGCCAAGGAGTGGATGACCGACTTTGAAGCTTTCCAGGAGGCGCTACGAAAAGATGAGGAATCAGATGAGCTGGGTGGTGCAGAGGGTGGCGGCCATGGTGGAAGCGGATACATGGGCAGCCTGCTCAACTCGATGAGTCTCATGTTGGAGGAGTTTTACGCACATCTCAGCGTCGTCGGCGTAAGTTCGCGACTGGGTACTGGTGTGGATGAGTTCTTTGAGGCCGTTGAGGAAAAGAAGCAAGAGTTTCTGCGCGACTACCTCCCAGAGCTTGAGAAGAAGAGGGCAGAGCGTGAGGAGGCAAAGAAGGCTGCACGAGAGAAGGAGCTGGACAAGATGATGAAGGGCATGTCGGTTGGTGGTCTACCAGTCGCACAGAAGGAAGACGACGACGTGGACGTTGCCAGCGATGACGACGATGATGATACTGACTCTGACGAAGAGGCTCAGAAGCAGAGTCTCCAAGATCGATACTCGGCCGCCATGGACGATAACGAGGATTCTGTCATGAAGGATGCAAGTTTCGCCAAGTATCTTTACAACCAACAGAAGCAGCAATAAGGGAAAAATAGCATATAGTGGCGTTTGGGGTATTACAAGGATTTTATCTAGTTCACGGTTTAAGTTATGCAGGGTAGATATCGCAAGGCGACTTTGAGGAAACAAAGAAGTAATCACGCAGACTGTCTCGTCGTGCGCAAATCGTGTCGCATTGTCTATTCTTTCATTCGACGTAATTCCCAGACCCCTAAACTCCCATCTCGAAATATCAAAGTTGCCACAACACCTCTCGTCTTTATTCTTTGCAAGCTTTTTCTTTGGTATATAAAAGATCGTCGGTATGTCTATCGGGCCTCGAACTGAACCATTCTACACACACTGTTAGTCTCAAGCCCTCCAGAAACCATATGGCGCATAAACGTACCGCTTGGTGCGTTCCTTGTAGAGAACACGGCCTGCGCAGTGAGGGCAGGCGACGGTGGCATCCTTTCCGAGGGTGACGCTGCCGCCGCAGTCGCCGCAGATATAAGACATGACGTGACGGACTTCGTGGCCTTCGCGGGTACCGCCGCGCTGGCCGGCACTGGCGGTGGGGACTTGGTACTCTTCACGGGGCATTTTGGACTGTGGTCTGATGGGTGATGGGTGATTGATGCCTTTTTGGTGGTGGAGGAAAAGATTGGAGGTGCATTGGTCATGAAGGCGGTGATGGGAAAGTTTGGACGGCAGAATTGGGCGGTGAGAGGGGTGTGCATGGGTACGTACCGTTTTGATAAGAATGGCTGATCTGGACTCTGTTGAATGATCGGCTTTTTGTCATAGGTTCAATGAAGCTTCTGAAGTAGTTAAGTTTTGTTATGTTATTTCTCCTTCGTTTCTTCTCCTACTGCGTCGCCTTTGATCGCTTTCTTCGTTGTAAGAATGTCTTGGAGCCGAAGCATGACCAATTTACACTGCTCCGAGAAGTACTAAAATCACCCAGACACAGTAAAGATAACTCTATCTTATTCCTAACAATCTCTCCGCATGCAATAATATTCCTATGATGACTTAAAAGCGCGGCCTGTGATTGTGTCACAGAGGAACGGGGAACTCCAATCATAAGCAACACCCTTCATTGAAGCATCTTCCATAGCTTCCGTCTTCATATACGGTAGCCACGCAGCTGACGATAAGGAGATAGCTCGACACTGCTCTTATGCTGACCTGGAGTCAATGAGCTAATGTTGGATAAGAAACATGCCGTTAGCGGGCAGTTGAGCAGGCTGTACCCCACAGAGATTAACCTCCACTAAATGCACTAAATTAAACACCCCAGTTCCCGATCTCCAGTTCCTGGCAAGCCCCGGTCCATCATCTCAACCTCGGTACCATCTCTTCACGCTCATGAACTTGGAACATCATCAACCTCAACATCGACGTCATTAATTTCACCCAATCTTTTCACTATTCATCCAAACATACTCAAGCTCATACCAACTCATACACCACATCTTGAGAAGATCATCGGCCATGTTTGATCCTTCAGCTCCTCCGACATCATCATGTCCCTTCTGCACAATCTCATCCGTCTTCGAGCCATTCGACCCCTTAAATCCACCACCATCAACATCCTCGCTCATCAACCCAGAGCTCGTATCACCCGCCTCATTCATTGTTCTCTCAACACCAGTTCTCGTCGCCTTTCTCGACATTCTACCGCTAAGTCACGGCCATCTTCTTCTCTGCACACGACCTCATCGTCCTAAACTCAGCGACGTGACGGCCTCTGAATCCGCGCATCTTGGCCGCTATCTGCGCATTCTATCAAAAGCCATGGCTCGTGCGACGGGTATTGAAGATTGGAACGTGGTGCAGAATAACGGGGCTGCTGCTGCGCAGGTTGTTCCGCATATGCACTTTCACATCATCCCCAGGCCGGAGATTAGAGCTAGTGGGAGGTTTAGTGAGAGTTTTACTATGTTTGGGAGGGGGAGGAGGGAGGAGTTGGATGATGATGAGGCGGTGGTTTTGGCGGAGGAGTTTAGGCAGAGTGTTGCTGCTGTGATGAGGGAAGAAGAGGAAGAGGAGAAACAAAAAGAGAGCAAGGCCAAGCTATGAGAGTTGAAGATGTGTTTCCTGTTACCTTATTGGCGTTGAGCGGTCTAGGAGATGAGGCTGGTTTGCCAAGTGCTTGGCGTTGAGGAGATTCATAGATTTCTATAATTCTCTATCTAATACCCTTGATGTAAGTTTGTCTTCATCAGCCCATTATATATCTTTACTCGCCCTGTCCAAAGAAATTCTTGATCAGCAAAACGCAACATTGGGCGATTTTGGCCCAGCTCTTGATTTCTTTGATCGTTGAGTGCTTCCATCTCTGGTCTTCCTGTTCCCATCCCTCCAAGTCTGTCTAGACTCAATTCTCGAGGTGTGACACTCTTTGGAGCTTCACCCCAGCCTCGTCGCAACAACACCGCTTGCTGCAGTATCTTTCCCCTTTATCTAATAAATCTCTCACTGCGATGTAGAACTCATCGGGCTCATCCAAGGCATTAATAGCCTTCTAGGGGAGGCAATACAACATCAGACCTCGTCCATGAGTAGCTACATACTTAGGAAACTTTAGGATCACTTTCGGCAACATTAGGATGAACTGAGAGAGCTTTTGGTGAGTTATTTTTGACTCCTCCATTGAAGGTCTTGAGTTTCTGTGCTCCCTGGACTCGAGCCTTTGTTGTATACACCTTGGGAAGTGCTATACATCAACTGCATCTTGACCGCGGTATTGGTGGAGTCTCAACCCTTATCAGAAACTGCTAGTTCCGCAGCTCTTTAACAATACCAGTGAGTTAAGTGCAGGTCAATTAGTCTGGTCAAAGGTCCCGCAGACTCTTCTCGAAACGTCATGAAGCATGTTGAGAATAAGCCCTCAGGCTGTACGCAAAGTAGTGGGTGAGGCATTGTAACTGAATATCATATTTAACGGAAATGACAGCAGTAGTTGAGATTCAGTATCTAATCAATCGCACCGAACATATAGTTTGCATATTAAACAAAACAACATAAAAAATATCAATACCCCTCCAATGCGTAAGCTTAAGTTCTCTGGCACCGATGTCAAAGCAACTCCTAAACCCATTAACCGGTGACCGCTAACCTTAACCATCCAATCCAAGCATGCCTTGTTTTTTTATGTTTTTCTAATACTTTTAAACAGATATCCGATCCCGCAATTCTTTTGTTTTGTTATTCCATATTCGCCATTATGCCCGATCATTTGCCTAGGTACCTTACGCCAACCTCTTTTTTTCCCCAATCCTTTACCATCCAGTACCTAAGAGAACTACCTGAACATTTCTAAACCAAACACCTTCGTGTATCAGGAGCAATTCGTCCCCGAAGCTCTCGTCTTTCTCTTTCTAACCTCGCCGTCTGCTTCTCCAGCGCGCGGATTCTCTCGCGAGCAAGGTCAAGCACCTCAGCTTTGCTCACGCGACGATCATTGGCGATACCGCCTTCTGTGCCGGGAGCAGGTAGTACAGCAAGAAGACGCTCAAAGTGAGTGTTGAGACGCTTGCGATATTGCTGCTCAACTTGATTATGTGCAGCCCGCGCCTTGACTTCTTCTGAAGTCTCGCTGGGATGTCTGGGCTGAGCAGCAGCGCGCTTCTTGGGAGCACGCGATGCAGTGCGGAGCTGAGTAGGGTTACGCTTAGCTGGGTCTTTACTCTTTGTCCTTGTCTTTGTTGCCGTTGAGCGCTTGCGCTTCTTGCTCGCCGGCTCCGAGTCATCATCGTAGTCCTCATCGTCATCCTGGTCATCTTCCTCAGGCTCAGACTCAGCCGGTGATAGCTCGTCTGCCATGGGCGGCGTAGGTAGGAAGGTTGCCGCCGGTGAGATGTGAGCTGGCCAGACGGCGCCGAGGGATGGACTGCCTGAGGATAGGTCGTAGCCTTCTGAGAAGGCAGATGAGGTGCGATGAGGAGGATGGACGGGGAACTGGCCCGGTGTCGTAGGGTGGATGGCGTAGCCGTTGGAGGAGAAGTCTCCAAAGGGACGGTCAAGGTAGGCAAGGTCTGTCAGAGGGGAAGGGAAGACGGTGTTATCGAGACTGGGCGTCTCAGGAGATTGAAGAGGGTTCTGCTGCTGAGAAGTGAGTTAGATGTGACTCTTCTAAGTTGGGTGGTTGAGAGTGACTTACTGTAGAAGCCTCGTAGGGAGCATCCAAGCCGGAGAAAGGCATGGCGGTAGTATCGATACCGTTCATCCAGTCATCGGGCATGCGTCCAAAGCGCGCAGCTCCGTCTCCGTCGCCGGCGGACTCGAGGAAAGTCGAGCTCATCATCATTGTAGGCCGCGTTTTGTTTAACGGTTATCCGCAAATACTAGATCTAGCACGAGGTTGTCCTTGAACCCCGTCATCACGAGAAGGGAGTGGAACAACGATCCCGAAGAGTGTTTTCGGTTCTCTCGTCTCTATGCTTTTCTGTCTTTTGCTTGCTGAGTGTCTCTTTTAAAAAAGAAGGGGGGGTTCTTGTTATAGGCAGTTAAGAAGGCGGCAGACTCGTAGTCGCGAGGCTGGTCGGTTGTCTTTTACTGTCGACAAGCCGCAAGCCATAACGGAGCTGCTCTGTTTTCTTTTCCTTTTGTTTTCTTCTGTTTCTCTCGTCTAGTTTTTGTGTGATGGGGAGAGAGTAGTAGACGGGAAGACCGTGAGTTTACAGAGAAGGATAAAGATTCACAACTACAAACTTGGGCTGAACAGGTCCCCTTTTATAATAGACGTCTAGGGCACAAAAAACTCGAAAAGAGTGCCAAGACCCAACGCTCGTTCGCAAAAAGAGAGAAAAATACCACCATGCATAACTACTACCAACTAATCCATCGAGGGTGGTGCCAAAGTATGAAAGAAGCGGAGGATGGGCCATGGGGGCATGGCATTACGACACCGAGACGAGGCACAGAATAAGGTAGTAAGCATAGCCCAGGACACGGCCTCGGACCTGACGAGCCGTGACCGGAGGAGGGACGGGCCAATGTGATGCATCACAAGTTCAGGTGCTTGTTATCCTTCGCTTAAAGCATGGGCGTGAAGCTTGGAAGGGGAAAGATGCAATGGGTAACCAACCAATGTAAAGATTGATAACTTACACGCCTGAGTCAAGAGTCTTCCGCGAAGGCCAATGGTCTACACGAGTTTGTCTTGGCACCTGTCAAGGATGGGCATTCTGTTAGTAAACCCGAGCCCTTGGCTAACTAATCGCCACGTAAGAGCGTTTCTAGGAGAGTTTCGACGCAGTATTGTTGTGTCTTTATTAAAAACAAAAGAAACACGAGACTCTTGTACATTGAGTCTCACCGAGTCAGAAGAATATAATCAACCATATCGTCAAAAGTCATGTCGTCGCGATAAACTAATACAAGAGCGGAAAATGACAGGATAAAAAAAAACCTTGGGGTGGCCTGAGTTTATCCCCAGACCTAACAGGGCCTTCCAAGCGGGGCTGATCCCTGTAGAATGGGGAATCGTTGACTAACCTCAATCTCGTTTGCCTTGGAACAAGTCGTGGAGAATAGCCTCCTTTGCAAAGGCCATGTTTAGTTTTGCTTTGCGCCCTGTGAAGTTTTGAAGCAAGTGGTCACGAGCCAGCCTCAGACTCTGACAAATTCCGAAGCCCCGAGTCGAATCGAATAGAATCCACTGCCTCTCTCTGTGTTGGTTCTTGGGTAATGAGATCCGGTTGGTGAGTCACCGTGTAGTATTAATGCCATCATTGAGAGCTAATTCAGAGTTTTATTTTGTTTTACAAAAACAATGGACCGAGGTTATCATGACATGACTTCAAAGGAAAACGAGATCCTGACTCTTCAGGCTTGGCCTTGTTAGGTCTGCCGCATGCCGCGTGGTACTGGCATTGGCATGCAGCAGCATCGTATCAGACCACCCTGCAACGGCTAACGTTGCTATATTGATTGATGATCTTACGGTACTGTAGGTACATGCTCGGTTTTTTAGATACTAAAAGAATCCGGGGTAAAGGATGGATGGGTGGAAAGGATGAACGTGGCCCCCATCATTTGGTGTTGGCACTCGTCAGCTGTGAGATCAACGTCCTGACAGTTCAACACCCGAGTGCTGTGTTGTACCCTCGACAACTAGCCAGCAGCCATTGAGAAGATATCGTCTCTTTCAAATATGTTGTGACTCTATTCGTTTCAAACACTTCCTTTCTCTCCCAAGTTACAACTCCTCAATGTCTATCCTGCTTAATCCTCTCCTTCAAGACGCCCTCACAAGATCATCCTACCTACCAAAAATACCCAAGAAAATACGTCTCCTACGACAACACCCCCTATCAACCCCAAGAATAAACATCATGACCGTCAGCCAAACCCTCAACCTTCCCTCAGCCCTACCCGTTGCGGAGTCCCCCATGCCATCTGAACCAATTACAACACCATGGCAGGGGTTTTGCGTCTTTTTTCATGACATCCCCCCTGGGAAAAAGAGAACGTCTCGATGTTTATCTCAAAACTTTATCTAAATGGGCAGATCGGTAAGTGGACACTGCGTGCGTGGGTAGATCAAGATCAAGATCGATCTGCCTTGGCTAGATCTGTGTGTGCTCGGGTGCATGATCATGAATATGATACTGACTTGTTAGTAAAGGGGATATGTGAAGGGGAGGTACACAGGAGTAGGGCGGTATCACGAAGTAACTTCACAAACACCATCACCCAAATCAACCTACACTCAACAACGGCACAACTCAAGAGATAGTGACACTTCCAAGCAACAATACCCAGAAATAATTCAATGTGTTGAAAGATATATGGAGTAAAAGGAACGAATTGCTATACGATAAACGAGTCGCCTCGTAGGTATTACTCGTCACCACCAGCTGTAACCGCCTTGGGCTCTGGGGTCTCAGTAGCAGTAGCAGGCGCCTCAGCAGGCTTAACGCCCTCCTTGGCTGGGGCAGAGACATCAGCGGTGTCTTCATCGCCCTCAGCATCCTCCTCATCGCCTTCAGCTTCGGCCTCCTCATCACCTTCCTCCTCTTCTTCTTCCTCCTCCTCGGCGTCGCCATTGGTTTCTTTGGTGTCTGCCTCGGCCGTCTTGCGCTTCTTTACAGGAGGCTCGGCTGGGAGATAATGTCAGCATTTTGACTCGATATCATAGGCTGATTGCCAGGCTCTTGGAAGAGGTCGTGTAATGGGTAAATGGGACATGCTGGATGGAAGGGATGGAAGTATGTATAGGTGACGAGCTCTTCCAGAACATCGATAATAACTCACCCTTTGCATCAGCTTCGTCGTCTTCTTCATCTTCCTCCTCCTCCTCGGCATCCTCATCCTCTTCGCTCTGCTCTTCTTCGTCTGCGGTGGAGACGTACCTATTCACATGTTGTCAGCCAATCGTCATCACCAAAAAACAATCATTGACAACATGCTTCGATCGTGGAATCGCACGACAGGAAACAATATTAAATGCAGGGAGAAATATAATGCGATCGGAAAATCTCGCAAGTTACACGTGGGAATAGATTCAATCGCGAGATAGGTCGCATCGCATTGGATCGCATCTCGTGGTGGCATGCGACATCAGCCCTGCGCGCGCATCTTTGGTAGGTCGCGCAACGAATAGCGCAACGACAAAATGCGCGCGATCGGATAATTGAAAGCTCTTCAAAAGACGATCGCAACAAGGTAACATGCAAAAGGAAAGCAAATGGTACTCACTCTTCCTCCTCCTCACCATCATCGTCTTCAGGGAGGGAGACGAGCTCCTCCTCCTCCTCGTCTTGCTTTCTCTTGCGGGACATGGTGATAGTTACTGGTCTGTGTGATGTAGGGGAGTCTGTACAATGCGACTGACAGGTTCAGGAGATCAGGACGCTTCTCTCGAGGGGCAGAAGAGGGTTTTAAAGGTTAGACAAGGCACAGCACGAGATAGAGAAGCTAGGAAAAGCAAGAATAGAAGAGAGGAGAGAGAAAGAGATCCAGGGGGAGTGGGAACGGCAAAGGGTGGGAGAGGCTGCGCGTGCACACTACACAAGAGGGAGGAGAAGAGCTGGAGGGCGAGAGCAACAGCTACAGTGACAATGGAGCGATAGACAGCCCGAGAGCTTGTGTGAGAGCTTTCAGTCCAGCCAATTGCGGCTGTCACAGTCATCCCATCACTGGAGACACTCCATGACACTATGTAAGGACATCACTAACGGGATTCATGTATGAATACATGGGAATGCAAGGAAACAATACGACGCCCAGAGGTACAGTCCCACGAGCCTGTCATCAAAGGATGGATTGGGTGGCCCAGCTATGGTGTGGACAAGCTACCCGGAGGTAAGCTACCTTGCCTTATTACGCTACAGGCAAAGCTTCTGACTACTTGCGAACCACCAGATCAGGTCCGATCAGTGCGACCAAGACGCGCAACAGACGTGCGTCCAATCAGGATAGAGATAGCCGAGTTTATCAGTTACCCGGAAAGCATTGATGGTTGTTGGCTTTTCAGATTTGGGTTTGGTCTCTCCCACCTAAGCACCAAGGAACAAGAGGAGAACTGTAAAGAATAGTAAAGGCGGGGGAATGGCCCCAGCCTTGAGAGAGTGAGGGAGGGAGAGAGCTTGGGGACGCCAGTTGACTTCCGCCCAAGTGGCTGGGCAAACAAACAGCTTTGCCGGATATGTGACGTAGGACTTTCACATTGTAGCCCAGAGCTGGGTGGAAGTGTCTCGGAAACTCATAATCGCCGGGAACTGGGTCCTTTTGTTTGTTTGCCATTGCTACTATTCCGCCCTTGTTTCGTCCAAAAAGGTGCTGCAGTCCATGGAATCAACGTGAGAAAGGCACAGTGTAATCATTTCCTTCATTATTTCTATCTTCGAGGGTCTGATACATGCCCTTGTCAGCAGCTCTCGAGTCAACAAGGATGAACGGAACTCTCTTGAAGCTCTGTAACATCTCACTTCTCCAAGAGCTTGGGGAAGCTTGGACCTCCCTAACTCTGGGAATAAGTAAAACCGGGAGCGGATGACGGCGCAGGTTTCTCCGGCTCGTAATGCTTCAAGGATGATTCTCAAGTGAGACGAGTGCCCCTTGAACCGAACCGACGTCGGTGTCGGAGGGTTCGGTGGTGCAGCCGAAACAGAGTTGGCGTCATCAAAGAAAGAGTGATATGATGCTGAGCTGGGAGCTTGATGTCCGGTCACGTGTTATATTGGTCCCAGCTGGAACATTACTTACCCTGGAGACATCATTTGCACTTCGGGTTGGGTTTATGAGCGCCCTCAAAATGACGGCGGACGGGCTTTTGTTTCTGGTTTCTGCTGATCGATATGTCGTTTTCAGTATTTACTTTTTGCCTTTTTCTTCTGTTTTGATAATAACATTGTTGCGCGCCCTGATACGTGAGGTCGACGCCGCTCAGTTGCATAACATTTCGATTCGCCCTCCAGAGCTTACAACCATGTGCTTAATTCCGTGCTTCTCGCTGGCTGGACGACGAGACCAAAATCCTGTCATCACTTAAAGAAGATACTAGGGTGATCAACGCAGAGAATCTGATATTGGAGAAAGGGAAAAAGCAAAGAGACACGGATAGTCTCAGGCCTGAGCGGAGACAATGTCTTGTTCTCCCTGCTCCCGTCCCGTTTCTCCGTCTGCCCTTCCTTCGCTGGCGTTATTTCCAGTTTTTGATGTCGACCACAACATTGCATGAATGGCTTATTTGGACGATTACGGTGGCTTGAAGAACAATCGGCTCTAGGTATTGCAGCTCTGGCAAATCACAGGATACCTAATGCATGCCGGTACCGGTTACAATATCATCCTAAGGTCCCGGGTAGGCCGCTCAACATGCAACCAGAAATCCCAGGACCGTGGACTGAGGGCTTATAATGGTGATGCAAAGCCACCACGATGGCCAAAGCATATTTAAGACCCTTCATTTGAAGTTCGTGCTGAAAGACATTTGCCACTTGGCGGCTGAAATATCCGTTCCTGAGCGAATCGGTGCTGCGCGGAATTCAGCTGAAATAGCCTTAACTCGGCCACGACCCTTTGCGTTCAATTCGAGTCTAGCTTCACCTCAACTGTCTCTACTATCGAGAGGCCAAGACGGGAACCGTTGTCTTTGCCTGCGCAATCTAGATCTCTTGAACGAGACGAGACCTTTTAGTATTGAACGAGGCGTGATCCGTTGGATTGCTAGTTCGGGGTGGCTGTGCCTCGGTCATCATATCAAGACACGACACGACGCGTGTGGTATAGTGTTTTGTTTGGATTTGCACAAACAAAATATGTCACTCTTCCCTGGACGACGGGTGATGACGACGGCGGAACAGATCATGACCCGGTGGTTCGGAGTGGGCATGTGTAATTTGGACGTTACCGAGATGAGCTTCGGCATCTAGTATGGATCTTAGAAACATGCATGAATTCGTGTACACTTCACCCACGTTGTCTCACGTGCTATTAACGCATGTCTTATACAGTCTCCGACCTGGAATGTGAAATTCCATATCATGAGGACGTCTAATTACATCTCGATGGAATACGCAACTCTGACGAGCTATTGTCTAAGCCTCGCGATCCTGCAATTAATCTGTGTTCAATAATTGTCAGCATACGTACTCAAATGCTAGCAAGCCTCCTTCGCCTAAAATATGCACTTGTCGATGGATGCCTCGTGCTTGACAGCGACAGTCCAGCTCATTGACAAGGTTTCCACCAAAAAGCGGGGAGTCTTAGCTGACTTCTTCAAAAGATTCCAGAAGAACGCGCTCTGTTGATGGCCAAATCACGTCAAGTCAATCTTATTTCCGATCTCTGCACAAACTTAATTTAATATTATGTTTACTTTTTAGACTTTGTAGCTGCATAACAGAGAGATTAGTAGACACTTAGATGCCCCGCATGAGTGGTTATTTTTTCACTGAGCCTGCACTAAAACAGTGAGATGGAGTTGTAAAACGTTGAGGTTTCTTTTTTGTCAGGCTATTTCGCCACGCTGAAGTCATTCTTACACTGAAGATGCTGCATGTTGGATTTCCCCTGAAGACAGTGGAGATTGTCAAGAATCACCGAACGCAAGGCGCAGAGATTCTTCAGTTGACGAGACGAAATAATCACGGAGCACGGAGCGAGACGAGTTGACAGTTACACAATCCCTGCGTGTCATCTCGATTCCATGTAGATCCAAGAATTCGAACTTCACCAGAAGCTCACCGGAAGAGCAAGGGTCAGAATCCTACCAGAGCTGATCGGCCTTTCCTCCGCATAAAATCGTTTTCAAATCGCTGGGAACACAGTAGTAATGCAATCGTGATAAAATCGAGATTGGACAGGTAACCCGCGCGGACTCATTCGTTTCTATCCATTCATATTACGGTACGTCAGCAGCGCTATGCAACATAACACGGCCCAAGGAATATGGACTCGGTGCACTGAAGTTTAGTATAGTTTACCGGGATCATGGATGAATGGATGGTTAAATGTTTCTTTGTTTTGTGCCTTGGAAGTTGTTCTCTCATCGACGTAATAGGTGATGGATAATACCGTGAATACGACCAGAAGCCATTTCATTAATTTCCAAATGTTTGACTTAGCTAAAATGCATGGGGATGAAAAGAAAAAACAGGGTTGCATGGTGTCCCTGCAGCGGAACAAGATCCAGGTACCAAACCATTGTCATTGGTTGCCTTTCCCTCACCCATCCACTCTTGATCTTTCTTTTGACGCCACCATATGGTCAACTCTCTGATGCTGCCTCCAAGGCAGAATAAGCCTAAGCAGAGCCTTTTCACACTAGCAGAAGCAAAAAAGGGAGATGACTACCCGATGTGGGTATTCTACCAGTCGGGCATCCAGTCCGCGACGCCACTTGTGTTCCTTTTGGACTGATGGAGAGACGTTAATGCTGACGGGAGGAACCCGTTGAGACGGTGCAGCGCCTTTGGGTCGGGCCCCTTTGCCGGAGGATGGGCTAACGAGAATTAGAGAGACGGGCTTGGAACGGTGGTTTCCAAAAACTCTCTACGCGAACAGATGTATATTATTGGGATTGCTCGCTAATAGTTTTTTATCTGTGAGAAACCCCTTTCGTCCAATGAATTGTTGAGGTGGTGGTGCCGACACAGCTCAATGGCTTCACATTGTGTTCAAAGGCTGTTTTGGTGAGAGGGGCAAGTTTAATTTGCATCTCATAGTCAGGAGGGAAAGGTCCTTTAAACTCCAATGAGGCTTGTCTGGATGAGACGAATATAAGGGATGAAAGTATGTGTTGCGTGATATTATATGCTGCCTCTAAGATATAGTTGATGCAGGCCATCATCATAGCGGCTATAGTGTAGATGATATGGACTGCGGTATGCGAGAAGTGACAGTGCATCTGGCTGCGTTTCTGATGATCTCTTGCTCGTATCAGCTAACCCTGCACCTCTTTTTTGAGATTCATCGCAAACACCAGATCGTCTCTGCCTTTCAGTGTGGCTAAGACTGTTCTATCCAGAAACGCTCTCTCCCTTGTTTGAACATCCTCGGATTCACAAGCACCGTTGTCGCATATGACATGAACCGTTAGAACCCCTGTTTCTCACAAGCCTTCAACATCACAACACCAACAAGCATATTCCTTCATGATTACGCCATTGAACCAACCAATTCGATCTTGACTGACTGTTTGTTTCTCTGTTTTCCCATCAAACCACAAACCTGGTCCCATGAATCACCCTTGCTCTCATTCCCAGACCCCCCGCCATCCAGGCCTGTTTAGGTCAACTGACTCGATATTGGCCCCCCTCTCACCAGCAATTTAGCGTGCCAAAAGAGACCTTCCCAGCTGAAAGGACCCAGCAAAAGAACCAGAGTTGCTTCCCCGGGGCACCATTCGGCCAATGGTGTTGTCTGTGACCTTTTTTGGTCGACTCATTTTCTTCTTGGTCATAGATGGGATAGAGTCGAGGAAGAAGGAGGGTGACAAACAGGATAGACCAAACGGAAAAGACGCCGCAGGGCAGGGTGACTGTGAATGTGAAAGCCACGAGGCATGCGCCGCAGACCATACAACCTCACGGTCACAGTCGTACAAATCACATTGAATTTAGCTTGGAGGGCCTCGTTCGATCTTTTTTGTCATCCTCGTGCCCCTTCGCTCTTTACCATTGAATTTTTACTTTTGATGTGCTTCTTGGGTGTCTTGGTTGGGTCTCATTCTCGTTTCTTCTTTTCCCCGCGCCACCTGGTACTGCAACTGCGACTTTGTGGCTCTCCGAGTGAATCCAGTCGCTCTCCCTTGTCTCATTTCTATATTCCCTGGATTTCTCTCCGTCCGGGCTGTCCACTCCGCCCAAGACTTATGTCTGCTATACTCCCCCATCTAAACACCAACAAAATTCATGACCGAGCTTCCTCCCTCTAGCTTCTCGACTTCCGAGTTTGCAAATCGATTCAACCTCCGATTCTCGGTTCAAGCACTCGTTTGGGTACATCTCGTCTCCCTTTAGAGCCGGAATTCTCATTACAGCGACGCCCAAGCTCCCCTGCTGGTGCTGTTAGCGACGATAGCCCCCCGGTCGGCTGGTTTTTGGGCCTGGGCTGGGGCTGCGGAATATCCTTGTCGTTGAAATTCAACCTACCCGCCCTGCCAATCCAATCCGGCTTCCCCGTCCCTGTCCTGAAAGTTAACGCTCCGTGCAGGGTGTTGGCTGTGCTTTCTTTGCGTATTTGCGAGTTTTTCGCTCTTAATGTACTCTTGGACCTGGACCTGAGCACAGGCTGAAGCCATTCATTTGTTCTTCTCATCACTTTCGAACTGGAACTGGATGCCGGCTGGGTTGTTTTGTCTGTGTCAAGACGAAATTCGGCGTCCTTTCTTTTAACCTAACCGTGGGGTCTCTCTCGACACCCATCATTTTCCACAGGAATCATACCTTTGACCAGCCCACACCGAATCCGCATTTTCTCGAGGACCAACTCTTTCTCGCATTCGTTCTTCAAACACCGATCGACTTCTTGGTTAGATAGCTGTGCTTGTGACTGAGGTTCTTGCCATCATTTTTTGTGCGGCTTGTTTCGAAACTCTGGAACGATACTCGACCCTCGCTCACGAACGGCCGAAACCTTCACCACCAAAGCACCGCTTTTTTGCTTCTGGCCCGACTTTTGCCAAATTCCAGTTGCAGATCGAATACCTTGTTCTAGATCCCACAGCAATGGCCAAGAGCTATTGCTGCCTTTTATCAAATACGATCTCTTCATTTTCAGATATCTGCGCTGCTACGGTCGGCGCACCTTGCCGGAGGACGCAGTACAGTGACTAACTGAACGTTACCAACCGCATCACCGACGAAACGACGAACACGACCAAAAATTCGATACCCTCGCATACAAAGCAAAACTTCGTTTTGTAAGCAAACTTGTACCTGCCCGCTGGGCGACCATAGTTTTTGCCAGCCTCTGGCGCCCAGCAGCAGCATCCTGATCCTACGACTGCCAAGTGCATCACACCATGGCACCCCTCGCTATTTCTGTACCCGACGCTCCGGGTTCACCACATGCAACCCGAGGCAAGTTTGCCTTTTATGGTAATCGACAACGGGATAGTGAGAACAGTAGCCTTGCACCAGGTACCTCGACAAGTGATGCATCACCTTATGCATCACCTATGACTTCACCGTCAATGTCTCCGTTAGCATCTCCTCGGGTTCAAATAGTACCGTTTGGATCCGCCTACCGACATACTCGCCAACCCTCTGATGAGTCTCTGTCACATTTACCTCCTTTGCCAGTTTCACCAAGATGGGATTCAATGTCAAACCCTTCAAGATTTATTCTTGGGCAGTCAATATCACAACGAGCAGGATCACCTTTTGACTCTCCGCACTCGCCCTCACCTTTAAGCTACGATACTGCGGCAAGCACTCCTGTCGAATCTCGAAACACGTCTCCGACATTTCTGACATCCAAATCATCACTGGCTGACCTGCGCGCCTACGACAACCTTCCACCCACCGTGGAGAACTTCTCGCGGCCGCGGAAGCAAAGTATCCGCCAGCCAATGACAGACGCGGCTAAGCCACGACCAGTCCACAGTACCCTGGCTACCGCTACCGCTACCGCGACTGCGACCGCTACATCTCCCTCTACCCCCGGCCTCAATCCCGCCGACCAGTACCTGGAGCTTGTATCACCTTCGCAACATCCCTTATGGCCTCCTCCTCCACGTCCCCGCGGTCCTTCAGTTTCATCTTGTCAGTCTTCATCTACTTACCACTCGGTCCTCTCTCCACCTTCCAACGACTTTTATGAGCCTCGAGCGCCCCGTGCTCGGACGGCCAATGGTGCGACAACTTCCGCCGCACGGCCACCATTAAGCTACTCCAACCCAGGGTCGGCCTCACCGAGCCCTGTCGTCGCCCCGTGGATGAGTGGTGAAGAATTTAGATCGAGCTTTCGCTCTCAATTCACAGAATCTACTGCTCCAGGAACTGCAGTCACCGAGAGAAGTAGTGTCCTTACCAAGGACAGCTCCGTTACATCGTTATATCCGAGCCCTGAAGGAGAAGGGGAGCCAGAAGCCAACCCTGAAAACGACAACGACCCCGAACACGACGAACCGAGTCTTGAGGATGTTATGGGCATGTACGAGCAAGGTTTCGACGACGACGAAGACGACGTACACTACCCTGATCATCACAACAGGAATTCTCGACCCGTGACATCAACCTCAGACATGGATCAGCGACACAGCATCAGAGACGATGCAGATGACGAGGACTTTCCTCAACGCAAGGTTCAAGAGTCCAACTCGACACTTGACATGGAAATTCGAATGTCCAAGATGATCTTCACCCACCCAGCCTTCACATCATCAGTTCCTCATATCGCCGAAAATTACGGTCGTGGAATGAACGAAAAGCGAGATTCGACCAAGTCTTTGGACTCTGAGCCCTCTCTTAATGAGCAACCTTCTTCCGCTGTCGAACCAACTCCTACAAGCGCACCACCTGTCTCCGCGTCCCTCTCACCCGTTCGTGAGCCTTCCGAGCGACCCGAAACCCCTGAATCTGGACGCAATATGGGCTATGCTTCGGAGCCCGCACCTGAACCAACACCGACAGCAGCACCCGCACCCATTCCCGAGCCTCAGCCTGCACCTGAGCCAGTATCCGCACCTCCCCCACATGTTATTGCACCTGAACCCGTCGAGCCTGAGGACCCTGGCTCTCGTGACCGATACGGCTTCAAGAAGGAGAACCAGTACGTGACGCGGAAGCAATACGATGCTTGGAATGCTGGATACACCGAGTACCTGGCACGCCGTCGGAAGAAGTGGAATGCCTACCTCAAGGATAATGCTCTGATGACAGATCACCCCAACCGGTTCCCTGCTCCCAACGCGAAGACAAAACGATTCGTTCGCAAGGGCATTCCTCCGGAATGGCGCGGTGCAGCTTGGTTCTACTATGCTGGTGGTCCCGCCATTCTGGCAAAGCACTCAGGTCTCTACGATAAGCTAACAACTAAGCGAGCTAAGGACGTTGATGCTGAAGCTATCGAGCGAGATTTGCATCGGACATTCCCTGACAACATTAAGTTTAAGCCTCCCGGCGGGATGGACACGGCATCAAGCAGCGCTAGAGAAAGCCAGTCAACAATGTCGGACTCTACTCATGGCTCTAGCCCAGCCCCTCCCAATGTGGAGGGAGAGACACCAATCATCACTTCTCTTCGCCGTGTGCTTCACGCATTTGCTGTCTACAACCCCCGGATCGGATACTGCCAGAGCTTGAATTTCCTTGCTGGTCTTCTCCTTCTGTTTGTTGACACTGAGGAGCAATGCTTTTGGCTTCTCAATGTCATTACACGCATCTACCTTCCTGGTACCCATGAGATGAGTCTCGAGGGCTCCAAGATTGATCTGGGCGTTCTCATGACTGAGATGCGCACCTCCATGCCTGCCGTCTGGGACAAGGTTGGTGGCGAGCTTGAGGCTGATCCCAACTCCCGACCCTCGACAAGCAAGTCGATCCGCCTCACTCGCTCGCGTCGCAAGGAACTCGCACGCATGTCAACACCAACCGATCGACTTCCACCAATCACTCTTTGCATGACAGCTTGGTTCATGAGTTGCTTCATTGGAACGCTTCCAATTGAGACTACTCTCCGAGTGTGGGATGTCTTCTTCTACGAGGGCTCCAAGACTCTGTTCCGCATTGCACTGGCCATCTTCAAGCTAGGCGAGAGTGAGATTCGAGCTGTGGCCGATCCTATGGAAATGTTTGGTGTCGTGCAATCGATGCCACGCCGGCTGATCGACGCTAACGCCCTCATGGAGGCTTGCTTCAAACGACGGAATGGCTTTGGACACCTAAGCCAGGTCCAGATTGACGAAAAGCGTCAGCAACGTCGAGCCAAGGCACAGCTGGATCGAGTCCGTCAAGGCAAGACATGGAACGTGGGATAATCGGAGTCGGAGAACAGCCACCACTGTCTACTCCGACCCGAAACACCAGGAAATTAAACGTCTGAGCCGCGTCAGCATTTTCACATCATCTCAAACCCCTCAACACTCCTTCAATATCTCTTTTTACTACCTCATCATCTTTCTCATTTCGGTACACCGTGGCTCGCACTGAAACAGATGTGAGCCACCGAACCTTATCATGGAATGGCGTTTCAATGGAAGGCATGGTCTACTTCTCGATTTAGCCGGCATTGTGTCTTCTTTTTTTTCTTTATTCTCTTTCATATTCAACCTTCCTTTCAAAAAATTTCTTTTTTTTTCTTTTTCAGCTACCCCAACATCTGGGGAGCTCGTTTACAATGTCTCAAAGCAGCGGGGAGGGATCAGCGTTGGACGGTTGGAATGTACAGGATGGAATGGAACCTAAAAAAGGAACATTGTTTTATACTTGATGACGATGGTTTACGGCTGCATTGCGACAAGACAAAAAAAGCACCACCAACCTAACAGCACTCTTGTAGGGAAGAAAAGACTTTCTACAGAGAGAGGCATGGTCAGGATGCAAAGGACTGGCAAAGCCAGACGGTGTCTGGTTTTCATATAGATGGAGGGGAAAATTACGTATGAACTGGGTAGAACCTTATTGTCGAGGAGTAGATTTGGGGGATAACCTTTTTTGATACCCTAATGGAATGAAAGATAATTACATGACTGTTCTCCTGTTTGCCTATGCGCGTGGTCCGTTGATGTCTCAAAGTTGTCCACACACTTCGATCTATCTGAGACAGGTGAGGTATTTGCTGGTGATATATGATGATGTTTCATGATAAGTCTTGTGGGCATGGCCAAAGTGAGACAAAAATCAGCCATGTCGTGCTGAAATAACTGAGAGGGATTGGGATAGGTATGTTGACACTGACCTTGAGACTGGAGACTTTTAATGAGGATGCAAAAAATAAAGTGTCAAAGTTTAGCGTTCACTACACGAAACACATCTAAAGCCGGTTTAGGATTTCTGTCACTTGGGATTAAGGTCTCACGTTTTCTTTCATCAAAGTTCAGACAAGGTAGCTTCAATCAGCGGCAGGTTTGACGAGATAGCATGACAAACATTCTTGCTTGTCAGACTCGTCCTTGAGAGATTCTATGTATACCATAGCACGTCTTTTGTCATGATACCAAAGGACTGCAAAGATAACCTGATGTACATGGGTTTACGTCTGGAGGATTTTGTGACGAGGGGGAAGTCGTCTTTCATCGCTGCAATCCATATGGACTTTCCTTTCCAATAATGACATACTGATAGGAAGCCTGGGAGGCATCGAGATAAATCATGTGTTCGCTCTTCCATTTCGCTGACTTCGCTTTTTTTTTAGGCATTGGCTATAAAATTCCCAAGACGCCTCCTGATGCCACGCAACCAGTTTCTGAACCTTCCTCGCTCTTGTCGCCCCCGCCCCCCCTCTCGTAAGCCGATCTGATATCTTCCACTATATCAGCCCGGAGCTGGTCATACTCTATTTGTCTTCGTCTTGCTTCCTCCAAGGCTTCCCATACATCCTGTCTTTGCTGTACCCTTTCATGGTGCGGAGGTATTTGCATTGCAGGCTGTTGCAGCAATCCAGCGAATCCACCGTGTCTCAGCACTATTACTGGACTGTGTGGTCTGAAATGTATATGAGGTGCAGGAGCAGGAGGTGCAGGAGCGGCATCTATACCGCGGGGTCGTGGTACTTCGTCGCTGCCCCTGTTGTTTCCATCGCTGTCATTCTAGGCAACTGTAGGGAAAACAGGTGAGCCCATTGCATACTGCTCAGCCTGGGTTTTGGCGGCTTTATCAAACTCGGTACGGTTGGTCTGATATTCTTGAGCAATGCGCTCCTCGAGAGGGCTGTCGATCTGGGGCTCAATTAGGAGATTACGAAGGGCCTCAAGAACGGCGGAGAGCTTCGTGCTGGGTTTCCAGGAATCGGGCTTGAGGAGGCCAAGGCAGATGTTGCCTGGGCTTTCGTTTGTGACATTGGGGTGATAGATACGAGTGACGAACTTAACGACAGGCGGCTTGAAGGGGTATTCGGTTGGCAGGGTCAGGAGGATTCCGAATTTGCCTGGGTAGTAGGGAGTTGACTCGGGTGCCGTGAGGGTTACATGCCAGGTGTGGATGGACTGGTTTGGTGGAAGGGAAACAGTGAAACCCTCAGGCGGGTTTTGAGAAATCTCTGCAAATTCCTGGAATGTGTTATTCGATGGCATCAAGGATGGAAGGGAGGAAGGGTTACCTTGGTGATACGCTTAGTCGACATTGTCGGACGATGTAGCTACCTTAGCTTATGGATGGGGGATGATGTCGTGCCTTTCCTCCACTCGTGGAGCTTTTCTCTTGATAGTCTCGATATTGAGATGATGGTGGAATTACTGATCGATGGGTTGAAAGATAGACTGTTGGCGTGATGTAGATGTAGACGTTGAAGTTGAAGTTGAAGTTGGAAGTGGGAGGTGTAAAAGGAAAGGTATGACGATGGTGGGGTACTGCTGGAGGCAACAGCTATGGATGTACCTAGCGTACCTGCAGCCCATCCTAAAGCTTCTGTGGGGGCCAGGCTCATTGATGAAACGCAGTGGAGCAGTGAAGTTACGAGCAAGAACCTTCGGTTGCTTTGTAGAAAAGCATCTATTACCATTGGATATTGGTGTGACTTTAAAAGAATCAATTTGAAAGACGCGGCCTTTGTGCTGCGTGCGAGTGTTCAAATAAAAAATAAAATAAGTTATTGATGTATTGTCTTGATTTATCACGCCGAGATATTAGACAAGGTTCAGACAGACTCAGAGAACCTCTTAGGTGACGGACCCTGATAAAAAGTTGAGAAAATGTAAGTAATCGAATATTGGATTGAGACAGATGAGCATTGGTAGCGCATTTGGCTGCCGGAGCACAGCGCATGATGGAACCCCATGTACCTTGAGAGGAGAATCATTCTACTTACACCGATGGGAAGGATTCCAGTATAAGACCATCAAGTACCGTAGCTATTCAACACAGGATCAAGGTTACAGGAGCTTCAAACCAGGAACAACCCTAGATGACTAAGGGCATCCTGCTCATACAGATATAAATCGCATTACTGATCTTCAAACACCGAATCACACATCACCCTGAAACTCCCTGAACGAAACTTTTACCCTACCAAGGACTTGAATCGTCAATTAGCTCGCTCCTATACCATACACCCCCCATGTATATCTAAACATCCATCGTCGACAAACATCCTTTTGAAACAGACCATATCGCTCAATCCTAACCGTCGGTACCACTGCTCCTGAATGTTGCGCACAGCGCAGCATAGTGATGTGTAAGATCCAGCACATTCTGCGGCAAGCTAGTAGCTTGAATGATGCTTCGGACCTTCACTGCTCCCTCGTCCTCGATCAGAGTCCGTATCGTGTGCAGCAGCTCCGGGCTGAACTCGCTGTACCATCGGTACTGCCATGTCACTAATCGGATGACTGATGCCACTGTCTCTCTTGTGCTCTTGGTCTTCTCGAAGACACGAAGAATGCCGGCGAGGGCCTTGGGGCTGAATCGGATTGATAGGCATGCGCGGTACGCCTCAACGGCTTCATCGACGTGCTGAAGACGCTCGGCGAGAGAACCAAGGATCTCCCACTCCTCGGCAGACTTCTTGTATTGCATCTGCTGGGCACGGTACTGGGCCATCTGGGTACGCCAGATTGTGTAGACACGCAGGTCTTCGTAGAGCACCATGAAGAGGCTGTCTAGCCAGCGCTCACAAAGGCGCTTGGTGTTGAGCTTGGACAAATGCTCGTCATTCTTGGTTGTCTGCGGATTGTTAGCTCTGATCCTGCATGATATGTAAATAAGGCCTACCTCGCTGTCCGCCTTTGCCTCGCCTGGGTCGATAACATTAGAAGGCTTCTCGATCTTGTTCTGTTCGCTGGTACCGTTGGTGGCAGGAACTTCCTCGCCGGCTTCTTCAGCTTTCGAAGCAGACTCATCAAGCTTTTCTGCCTCTTCATCCTCGGTCTCATCATCTTGGTTGACAGTCTGATCAGGTGTGCCCCGCAGACCATCTGTGCTAGGAGTTCGCTTCGCTGAGGAGGCTGGCTGAGTAGCCTCCTGCTTCTCTGTGCGGTACTCATCCTCCATCACAAACACATTACTCCTGATCTTCAGTAGCTGATCCCAGCCAATCTTGGCAGTCATCTCGGTCAAAATGTCGTACGCCTTCTTGAAAGTACCCCTGTAGGATGCTGCTCGCAGGTTGATCAAGCTAGGGTCGACCTGTTCTGAGTATCGCGACTCCGGCTCGCTGTCAATTTCGTCGAGGCGAGTTTCAGGGAGGGTTGGCAGGTGAACCTCCTTTGGTTCCGGCATCAGAGGCGTATCCTTGTCTTGGTAAGTGAACATAGGGCATGAGTTGAGGATGGTAAGTGCATTGTCCCAGTCTTCCATAGCTACGTAGACTTGAGCTAGTCTTGCCCAGGTGCTGAACTCAGTCGGGGCAGCGACAGTAGCGCGATCCGCACAACCAAGAGACATCTTCAGTCTTTCGTCTCTGAGCTCAGGTGTAGGGGCACCCTTGGCCTTGTGCAACAAAAACTCAGCTTGAGTGTCGAGCATGACATAGTCCATGGGAGTTTCTTGCAAAGACTGGTGAAGCGTTCGGACGCCAGCAACCTCCTCATGTCCCATGAACATGACCTTCGCTAGTAGGGAGGATACTTCGACGCTTTGCGTTCGGAGTTTCTCGAAAAGGTTGATTCCAGAGGCGTATCGTCCAGTTGTCTCGAGGTACTTGAGCAGGCCCGTAGTTAGGTGGTTCGACACGTTGGTAGGCACCTGAACCACAGAATCGGAACCCAACTGCCATCCTAGAAAATTGGTTAGCCTATGCAGAGTAGCCCATTTGAGGTGGCATACCCCTGAAGAAGAGCTGTTCTGCGGCATGGAGGAAACGATGCTCGGTTTCAGTGTTTGTAACAGGGTTGAATCTTCGAACACCCATGATCTTTCGAATGGTATCGCCGCTGCCATCGTCTGCGTATGAGTAGGCTCGAAGAACACTGCATAGATAAGTCTCTAGCCAAAGCTCCTCTGAAGCCTTCCTCTTCTCGCCTCGTTCGTCGACGCAGTAGCTTTCTACGGTTCCGGGAATCGATACGTGTACTCGCATGTCGAGTCGTGAAAAAGCATTGTAGCAGCTGTTTAGAATTAGGGCCTGCAATCGCGAATGCAGGGGCGCAAAGGAGTCATGACGTACCAATAGACACCCTCGACAATCTTGTTTGTCGCATTTGGTCCAGATTCTTTGTAGGTCAGGGTATTGATATATGCTGCTAGACTCGCAGAAGAGGATGCATCGACACCGGTAACATGGTGGTAAACGCCGGTCTTTGAAAATCAGTTCCTTGTCTCCCTTGCGCCGAGAAGCTTGCATACCTGTTTAGCTGTGTTTCGCACAGCATGCTTGAGAAGGTGAACAAGATCGGGAGGACCAAGTTCTCTTAGACCAGAGAGAGCTTCGGTTCGTGCATCGATCGACTCGTGGAGGATCTCCTCGGTGATTCTATCTCGAGATTAGCTATGTGAACGCCAAGAATATCCATGGTGTTGCGCACTCAGGGACCGCTGGCGCGACCATGACGACGAGTTCCTCGTGAATCGCTAACGGAAATCAGGATCGAAATTGTAGCGAGGATTGTCGAAATTGACTCGTCTAGAGAATAAAGAGGGGAAAAGTCGAGGTCGGCTGTGATCTCTTTGTTCTCGAATCGAGGACTGCGGAGCTGGCGTAAGATGTTGAAGCCAACCGTTACTGGTCCCTCCCTAAGATCTGGCCTTGCTCCTTGCTCCTTGATAGCTGGAGCTACGTACTGAATTAGTCCAGGCCACGTTAGGGGCCCCGTACAGCTCTAAACACCGCCACACCCACGTGCTCTTACTGCAACAAACCGAGTCTCATGTGGCGTAATGGGGCTGAAATGATCCGCGTCTTAGAACGCGCTCTGGTTAATTAATGAGGTGGACGCCAAGCAGGTCGAATTGACCCAAACTCTCATCAAACTAGCCAACTTGTTAGGAAATACCCTTTATCGCAAACACGAATGTCGGCTGTTGCTTTAGAAGCATTGCGACCGCCAATATGGTACGATGCCCAGATGTTGGAGAGATTCTTCGCTAATTAAATATTAACAGCCGGCATTCCAAGCAATCAATCTCGAGCCAGAGGATAATATCGATGAACAAATCGATACCACGAAAGAGATTCATGTGAGGCCAACAGCTAACGAAGCAATTGCGCACACCTACTGACCTATCTCAGGTCGATGAAGCTCTGAAAAGGTTCCAGAATGCTTTAAAACTCCATGCACAAGGACCCCGATCGCGCGACGCCGCCGAAACCGCATACAACGAGCTATTCGAATCCGAGATCTTCAAATACCGAGAAGCCAGAACCGACTACGAGCGAGCAGAGCGACATGCAGACGGCCAACCAGATGTGTCCGACTTGGACCATTCCCTCACAGATGGAGGATTAGATGTCGATGCTGGAGGGGCAGATGGTGTCGCAGCTAGTCTTGCCCAAGCGCTCTACTTGTCCTACAAAAACTACGGCCAGTTCTTTGTCGATAAGTATAAGGACGAATCAACCTCAGATCCGGCATGGAAGGAAAAGACCCGGATAAAATATCATGACGACCATGGAAACAAAGTTCTGGACAGCTGGATGACTGCTTTGGATCAGGACCCGTCCGATCCCGAGCTCTGGAGAAGGGCTGCTCGATTCGCGGGCGCAATGAATAGCCACCGTATCAAACGGTATTGTCTTGAGGCTGCGATCGAGTTGGATGACGACCCGGCTGTTGTGGAAGTTGAGCCTCCCTCGTTAGCAGAAGGCATGGCAGGTGAGCAGTTGAAAGACCAATTGCAACTTCTTGGGGACGAGATGGCTCTATCGCATCCAATAATGGCTCCCTGGCTTAAGAAGAAGATGTCCGCTCTTCTCAAGCGTCATCTTGACCCCATTCCCTTTCTCCCCGACCCGACTAAGTCATTAATACCACCCAAAGACACCGTCACTCAAGATCAGACGGCGCAAGACACAGAAATGAGAGACGCCGAGGATACCAGCCGCAGAGACCCTAAGACAGTATTTTCCTGGGCAAGTCTTGGTGATGAACTCATAAATTGTCTTACAAGCTCCACCGAGTTCATTGACATATTTGATGAAATCGTGCAGAGCAGTGTGGACGAGGTTACCATAGAAACACCCTCGAACGATTCCGAAAGCATTGGTTCAGAGATAGAAGTGGCGATAGGAAGACCTATCCAACCAGCGGAACCATCCGAGAAGAATAGCCCCGAAGCAGAGTCCAAGGAACAGAAGGCTGCATCTGAGGCCA